AGATTTGGGGGCGAATCGGCCATCGCATCTGGTAACCATAGACACATCACAGAAACCAGACATAGCAAGGTCGAGACGATCATGGTATTGTACCGCCCTATTCTGTCGGCAATATAACCGATAAAGAAACGCCCAAGGCAGGAAACTGAATTAAGGATGGCGAGCAATTGGTAAGCAAAAGCCGCATCACTATCAACTATTGCTTGCCGGCCAGATAGCCCTTTTCTTGTGAGGTAGTATGTCGGTAGGTATGTGATGGGAACGAAGTATGCCCATTCGACTAAGAAGACTCCGGCAGATGTGACGGCCATCGCGCCAGTTCCATCGCGGAAGATGGCTGCACTGGGTAGAACGTCACGCCAAGAGCTTGTTGCACCACGCTTCGGTGGCAGGCGGCTCCGGCAGAGCACTACGCTGAGAATACATAGAAAGAGAAGCACAAACCCTACCAAGCGCATCGACCATCCCCAACCCAGGCGTGGAATTAATGACTGCAACATTAGCGGAAATATCACGCCTCCAAGTCCGCTGCCCGTGAAAGCGAAGCCGCTGGCCAAGCCGCGCTTAGCGTTGAACCAGTGCGATATAGTGCCCATAGCCGGAGTGAAGAGAAAGGAGGAACCAATGCCGTTAAGGATGGACAATGACAAGATGAACTGATAGTATTCTGGAAGAAAAGAAAAGAAAGAAGAATTAGCTGCGTGGGCCTGGGAACCGGTCAAGGGGACTGTACCTGTGCAGAGACCCAGACAGAATATTCCAGCAAGCGAGCAGACAGTGCCCAGAATCATCAACTCTCGTGGACCTCTTGCGTCAAAGATAGGACCGATTTGTACACCGCAGAAGTACGAAATAAAAACGTAGATACCAAAAATCCAACCTATGGCACTGGGGGAGGAGGAAGGAAGCATGTTGTAGGAGACATAAGCCTCCAAGACGCCGACTGAATTAACAAGGCCTAAGCCTGCGGTCATCGAGCACCAACAGCCGATCGCAACAGTCCAAGCAGCGAAACCGCCTTCAGGATACGTGAACTCGGATACGCTTTCATGGTCGGTGGCCTTTGTCGAACTCCTTCCCTTGCTGTCTGGCTCTGACTGGTTCACCAGACGCAAGCTGTCGGTCGGTTTTGGTCTTCTGTGTGAAGGTTCTGCAGAGATAATGGTATCCATTTAGCTGATATGGGGGGATTCAACTGGAAGAGACAAGACAAGCCCAGTCGAATTCTTCCAAAACGGCTTGATACGCGAGGGTGTCCTGGAGGGTCAATGATAGTACGGGAAGATGATGACGGAAGAAAGAGATGGATGGAAACTGTTCATAATGGCAGGGCAGGGCCAGGGTGGCTGAGGGAGTTGGCCACGGATAATCGTTCCTGGTAAACCGAAATTCGAAGGAAGGGCACATGCTTCGGTTGAAAATGATTCCGGAGTTGCATCGGAAAAACGGAGTAGACCCCTCATATTCTCTATGACTTTTTGGGTTTTTTCTTCTCATGTTTAGTGTTCATCAGCCTATAATAATCATCGCAGAGACAAGGAACAACTGGACTCACTACAATCCTAGTTGCCCTAACCGACCTAGGAAGTCCGGCTTTGAATATCCCTGTCTGCTATTAGTAACGAACTATAGCTGCGTAACTCACCGTTCTCAGCTCGGTATTAATAATATCCAAAGATGGCTAACAGCAGTGGGGGACAGGGGATCTAAAATACCCATGGGGAGCAAAAGAGGACGTCTTGCTCGTCATCGAACTGATCTAAGAAACTTTCTGTCCTTGAGCAGGGATATAGAAGGCGGTAAGAAACATCAGTCTATTATCGGAGTATTACAAAGTAATCGCAGACAGACTTTCCATCTCTTAGCACAGGTCTCGCAGGAGTCATAAAGTAGCTGGGTATTTCCCGATTGCAGCGCGTACGACGCATAATAACCGAATCCCGGACGAGATGATCCGTTGATGGCATCTCGTTCATAGGGATGTTGAAATTTCAATTTCATTAAGCCAGTACTGTAATATTGAAATTATACTCAAAAGATTTATTATAATTTCAAGATATCGTGTGATAATAATGGATACGATAGTAGATTCTAATGCTATACTTTGATTAGCTATAACTATGGACTAAAATACTCTATCCTACTTACTAATATAATTAGTTAATGTAACCCGCAGATGCGACTTATCACCAGAGTTAGTGGTTCTCTAGGCCCCGACGAGACATTGAAACACTCATATCGAAATTCTGCCCGGCCTTTTTCTCGAAATACTAAGCACTCCACCCCCTAACTCACCTCGGGTCATCATCGGGAGAAGATACCCCAGGCTAATGAGAAAGGTATATACCATTCACATAATAAAACTCTCATACCGTGAGTTGAGTGGTCTATTGGCTAGGGTCCGAAGTTTCAGCCAATAAAAGTCACTGTCCTGTCTCGCTCGGCCAGTACGTAAGAGTAGTCGTAGGACTGGTCTAGAAATAAGTGGCTCTGCTCTAACTAAGACATTTCAATAGCCAGGGGCTGGATTGATTCGAGAATAAATCTCAGAGCAGCCAACAGTACAAAATAGAATTTTTGTATCCTCCTCGACATATGTAGCTCGTTTTATGTAGTGATCTTCAAGCAGGAGTTACTAATAATACGTGAAAAGGTAGGGGCTCTTAGATTATATTGGGACACGGAATTATCAGACCAGAAGGAGCTTTCCATGATGCAATGGCTCTCGAGGGAATCGGACGTGCAGAGTTTGTAACGGCCACTGCGACAGTACGGGCAGACATTGCAGGGGTTTCTAGGCCCCAAGGCTACACGGTCGTTGCTCTTCAGCCCATGAACATTGCCTCCTGTGGCTACTATCACGCCCGAGGACTCATGGGCGAGGTTGAGGGGCTGGGTGACTTCGTATCGACCGAGCTTTCCATGCTGCCAGTAATGAATCTGCATGGTGACAATATGAGAGAATCATACTCAGTATGAGTAAGAAAGAATGATTACGTACATCTGAGCCACATAGGCCGGTGGCCACCACGCGGACAAGAACATCCCGATTCGGACTCGATGGTCGGGATACGGCGGTCGGAGTGGGTGAAGGTGCCTCCGGGGTGCAGGACCAAAGCACGGTTTACCGATGGCTGCAGTGTCGACATGACGATATCTGGATAACAGGTGACTGACAACCTTATCATTCCATGCATCCGTGCACTGCTTCAGTCAATTCTTATAGATCGAGCATCGTTTCACGTTGCATACAGGCTTGAACAGCGATTGGCCCGGCACTATCGCCGAACGAATCAGTGGCGCCGCAGGCTGGAAATAACCCCGAGAACCTTTCCCCACCACTGCCCCACAATCGTCCAGTTGTTCATCGATTCCCCCGCGTCTCGGGGGTATCGCCGTCCAATTTTTGAAGTATGGCAAATTCGAGGGCCCAAGGAGTGAGGAATCACATAAATATGGCACTTTCCCGTACATATCAGGTTAATATCTTCCTCCTAAACGTTACGCACATCTAACACAATGGAAATCATCCAACAGAAGCCCACCAACTACGCCATCCACACCAGCCCAGCCAACGACCTGCGGCTAGTCGAATGCGAAATCCCCAAGATCGCACCAAATGAGTGTTTAGTGCACGTTCGCGCAACCGGTATCTGTGGCTCTGATGTGCACTTCTGGAAACATGGCCATATCGGGCCCATGATCGTGACGGGCGACAATGGCCTGGGGCACGAGAGTGCCGGCGTCGTACTGCAAGTCGGCGAGGCCGTTACACGCTTCAAGCCTGGTAAATCCCTCCCCACCTACCTCCTCACAACCATCCACTAATCAATCTACCTTCTAAGGTGACCGCGTCGCCCTGGAATGCGGCGTCCCCTGCTCCAAGCCCACCTGCGACTTCTGCCGAACAGGCCTCTACCACGCCTGTCCGGACGTGGTCTTCTTCTCCACACCCCCGCACCACGGTACTCTGCGCAGATACCACGCCCACCCTGAGGCCTGGCTCCACAAGATCCCCGACCACGTTTCCTTCGAAGAGGGTTCTCTCCTCGAGCCACTGACCGTCGCGCTGGCGGGTATTGATCGCTCTGGATTACGACTCGCCGATCCACTAGTTATCTGTGGCGCTGGGCCAATCGGTCTGGTTACTTTACTCGCTGCTAACGCTGCTGGCGCTGAACCCATCGTCATCACCGACCTCGATGAAAACCGTCTCGCGAAGGCGAAGGAGCTGGTTCCTCGCGTGCGACCGATCAAGGTAGAGAAGGGAGAGAGCTCGGCGGAACTCGGCCAACGGATCATATCTGAGCTGGGACAGGAAGCTAAGCTTGTGATGGAGTGTACGGGTGTGGAGAGTAGTGTGCATGCGGGTATCTATGTATGGCTCCCCTCCCTTTTCCAGTCGAAGAAAGCATCGTATCGATTAGGATAGATGACTGACTGATTTTGATACAGGCAACCCGCTTCGGAGGCACCGTGTTCGTGATCGGAGTCGGCAAGGACTTCCAGAACATCCCGTTCATGCACATGTCCGCAAAGGAAATGAATCTCAAGTTCCAGTACCGATACCACGATATTTACCCCAAGTCGATCGCTCTGGTTGCTGCGGGGATGATTGATCTCAAACCGCTGGTGTCGCATCGGTTTAAGTTGGAGGAGGGGTTGAAGGCGTTTGATACGGCTAGTAATCCGCGGTCGGGGGCTATCAAGGTGCAAATCCTGGATGATTAGTTTATAGAGGAGAATAGAAAATTAGCAGTTTCGATATAACCTAGTCCGGGACATCAGTCCGTCCTAAGATTCTTTTCGCTGGTGGCCTCTTTGATGGTAGTTATCCTACTCCTCGAGACGTTGAAACCCAGGTACTTCAACTATGGAACTATATGTCTATCATATGATCTCCAAGTGCCTTGTTATGTACATCCGTCCGCAGAAGCCAGTGTAACAACACATACCACCCCTCCTCCACAGAGACTGAACTAAGTTGTACAATCCTGGAACTAAGCCTTCGCCTTCAGCACCCTCTGCTGCTCCGCCCACGCAAGCGCACTCTTCCTCACACTCTCCTCACCCACCTCTGAGAAAATATCAACACCGATTCTAGCCGGGAAATTCATCCGCTGGTGGCGTTCCAGTGATTGAATGGTCGAGAATGCATCGTCGGGAAGGATGAAATCTGATCAGTCCATTTTAGCACAATGAAGATAAATGTTGTGGATGGGAGAAGGATTACCTTGGAAATTACTCTCGATTCTCTCCGGAGTGACGGACTTAGGAAGCACGACAGTTCCCCGTTGAACCGCCCAGCTGATGAGAACTTGCGCGGGCGTTTTGTTTAATTTCTTGGCTGTTTCTATGACGAGGGGGTCGTCGACGGCGCTGGAATTCTGTAAGTTTCTTGCGAGATATAAAGAGCTGGGGACGGTGTCCGTACCGGGGAATGTTGTAGATGTTGTTGCCTAGGGGGGAGTAGCCTGCTATCACGATGCCCTAGAAAATGTTCGATTAGTATGATAGTCATGTTGTTGAAGATGTAAAGTATCTTACCTTCTGCGTCGACCACTCCAGCAAATCCTTTTGCTGAAGGAACGGATGAGCCTCGATCTGGTTGACTGCGGGAGTGATCTTCGCTCTGTAGATAGCGTCAGCTTTGATACATATGCAGTAACAAGCACACTCACGTCTTCAGCAACTCCTCGATCTTCTCGCGAGTAAAGTTGCTCACACCAATGGAGCGGACTTTGCCTTTCTCTACTAGTTTCTCCATCGCAGCCCATGTATCTTTGATTGGTACGTCTACCACGTCAATGAGGCCCGTTTGTTCATTGACGGGCTGGATGGTTGTTGTCGAGTATCTGAACGCGACGGGCCAGTGGATCTGTACAATATTTATCAGGACTTCAACAGCTAGTAGACAGACAAGTCGTCAACATACAAGATAAAGATCCAGATAATTAGTCTGCAAATCAGCCAGCGATTTATCCACAGCTTCTTCGACATTCTCGGGATGGTGGTGGGTATTCCATAGCTTGCTTGTGAGCTATACATTCAGCATGAGTTAGCCCTATATCATAGATTACTCTCTTTAGGTTTTAAGGGCTGCTCACGAAAATATCCTCCCGCGGAACCCCAGACAATCTCATCCCGTCTCCCACTTCCTGTTCGTTGCCGTACACTGCTGCCGCGTCAATGTGCCGGTAGCCGCATTTCAGGGCTGCGATGACGGCGTCGCGGACTTCGTCTTTCTTCGATTGCTGTTTGATTGTGTCAGATATGAAGCGGACATGTTCTGCGTAAAGGCGATTGATATACCCATGTTCCTAGGCCGACGGCAGGCATGTCGTAGCCTGTGTTGAGCTTGAAGGTACGGTTTAATGCCATGTTTGGCAGGGGATTGTTGCGAGTAGTTGGGTGTCACGTAGGGTAGTGGTGCGGATGGTAAGAAATGGTTGTTTAGTAACCTGCTTTGGATAGCTGAGATTGAGTCAGAATCCGATGGTTATGCGGAGGTGATAATGAAAGGGTTTACTATTGATCTTGCAGCTTCTATTCTTCAGACAGGAGTATACATCGAGTATAAATAATGCTGTTCTCGGAAAAGTCGTAGGGTGTTCGGATGCTTTTCCGGGGTATTTTCCGAGCTTTCTATAGGATAATATCCAACGCTGTGGGGTTGACGGGTTCGCCTATATCCAGAGTGGTGACTGTCTCGTAGTAAATTCCCCAAAAAGTGATAGGAAATAGAAACTACACGAAAGCGAAATGAATGGCTACGTTTATTGGAAACGCCCGAGGGTGTTGATGTATGTCTCCATGGGCTTTAAATAATATAGCTCGAATGCCCTAGCAAACGCTAGAGCACCGAACAAAGGAAGGTCGCATCGCGATATTTCACGGGCGCCTTGTGACTTTGTCGGATTAAAGAAGGATAGCCCAGCAGAAAATCCAGAGTTGCACAACTCGAAATTTTGGCGTAGATATAAGGAGTGCTTCAGGTGCCACATGGGAACGAGGGAGCATAATTCACCTGGGTAACTACTATAGCTCAATTCTTCGGGATCAACCACCACATCCTTGAGCAGACTCATCCCCGCAGTTGCACGTGGGAGCAGCCTTTGTACACCCAAACTGTAGGTAGTTCACACCCGAGATTCGGCTCCTGTAATAATCATCTTTCCATCTTGTTTCATACTATGGGTTAGCCCTATCCTAAGTAAAAAAGTAGGGACAAAGGGGGTATCGAGTACGATTTAAGATGCCTTCATTATCAAGTCTAAGCGTCTGCAATATGCATAAGATATAATTCCATCAAATTCAGCACAAATCCAGGATAGATACTGACCATCCCCACTGGAGGCACAAGAGACTAGGCTGTAAAGGCCGTTATCGCACAATGTCAAGGCAGATCAAAACATACGTATCAAAAGGTTCGTGGCTATAAGTGGAACAGAAAATATAGAAGGAACTGGGTGATTATCTATACCAACATTCATGCAATAGTGAGGTGATGGCATTCGGAATCTTCAGTAATTGATAAGTGCGAAATGATTGGTCAACATCTCCGCTTTACGCTGCAGGGACTGGGAAAGTCAAAAGTGGGGGAAGGGTCCTGTGTTGCTTCTCCTCGGCATGCTGACAGCTGTCCAGGCGCCGGGGGAAAAGGGAACTCACCAACAACACCTTCCCAGACATCCATTGACTTTCCATCTCGACATCTATCTCGTATTTACACTCTACTTCTTTTCCTTATCAGAGTCAATGACTTTTCAAGACTCTGCTGCTGACTCTTCGTGACAGCCAAGAGACCGGCTACAGCCAAGGCGGGCTATCCAAGCCGGCCAGCCCAACGATTCGCCCACGGATTCCCTTCCATCTGTATCCGGGTCTAGACTAGCTCAACCCTGTCGCTCCTTCTTTCCCTCTCCAATCCTGCCTTCCCGGGAAACACTCTCGCGGACCCCGCCGTGGGCGAGTCATCATGATAAGAACCTTCTCCGCGGGGTTTCTTCTGGACCCCTCCATGCATGCATGTCTTTACGCCCTTTATAGATAGCCTGCTGCTTCCCCTCACTTCTCCTCCCAGTGTGACACCACGCTTGGCTCATCATGCACACTATGCAGTCTTCTCGTCTTTGCCTGGCCTTGATGGCCATGTCTCTAGCCCTTCCAGCATCGGCTGAGAAGGTGCTAGGAGCCTACATCTTTGCTCGACATGGAGACCGCACGGCAAAGGTCCTGAAGGACACGGAGTTGACCGATCTGGGTTACCGTGAGGTCTATACCACTGGTAGCTACTGGCGGAGCCGCTACATTGATTCGGGCTCTTCCCTGCAAATCCAGGATATTAGTGAAGACATTGTCAAGCTGAGCCAAATCAGTGCCTCCACCCCGTCGGACGATGTGCTGCAAAACTCCGCCACAGGCTTTTTGCAGGGAGTCTATCCGCCTGTCGGCTCGTCAGCCAACGAGACCCTGGCTGATGGAACAGTCGTCGATTCTCCCCTGGATGGCTATCAGTTGATCCCCTTGGCCATGACCGACTCGGGGTCAAACAGTGAGGATACCACCTGGCTGCAGAGTGCGACCAACTGCCAAAATGCGGAAGTCAGCAGCAACAACTACTACACCTCGTCATTGTATAACTCACTTCTTAATTCTACCACGGATTTCTATCAATCACTCTCGTCGCTATTGAATGGTACCTTCTCCGAGTCTTCAATTAGCTTCAAGAATGCCTACACCATTTTTGACTACCTCAATGTCGGCTCCATCCACAATACCACCAATGTTCCAACAGCAGAGCAGCTGCAACAGGCCTTCCTGTTGGCTAACATTGAGCAATACAACCTGGCATACAACTCGTCTGAGCCCATCCGAGCCGTAGCAGGTGCTATGCTGGCAGGTGATGTTCTTCAAGGCTTGAATAAGACGATTACATCCAAGGGTAAAACCAAGCTGAATCTTCAGTTCGGCTCCTACGGAACATTCCTCTCGTACTTTGGTCTGGCACAACTCCCCGCTGCGGATGTCAACTTCACTGGAATTCCCGACTATGCCTCCTCCATGGCATGGGAACTAGTGACCAACTCGACCTCGAATGAGTTTCCTTCCACTTCCGATATCAGTGTGCGATTTGTCTTCCATAACGGTACCCTCAACGAATCCAAGAATGATAGCCCTAATGAGTACCCACTCTACGGCCGATCAAGTGCCACCATTCCCTGGTCCGACTTTGTGAGTCTGAGCACCAAGATTGCGGTCACGTCGCAGTCGCAGTGGTGCCAGGCGTGTGGCAATACCGATGGACTATGTGCGTCCTACTCGACCAGCTCTAACTCTAGCTCTACTTCTCCAACCCAGGAAATGTCAAGCAGCGGTATCTCCAGGCCGGTAGCGGGCGTTATCGGTGCCCTGGTAACATTGGCAGTCATTCTTGGTGCAGAGGCTCTTCTGCTTCTGGTGGGAGGATTCCGCATCACCAAGAAAGGCAGAATTGCACAAAACGCGGCTGCCGACGAAGAAGACAAAGCATCTTGAGTGAGACCAAAAACAGTGGGCATGTATTGTTGACGAGTTTGGATGATCATGATTTTGCGACGGCTGGAGTATCGTCATTCCCAGTCTTATGCTACGTTTTTAGCGTTAGCTGGTTTCATGTCGGGACCCTGATCCGAGTCGATTTGGGCCTACCTTAGTACCACAGTCGTTATGATATTCTACATTGACGTTGTCCATTTCTCCATAACCCTCACTGCACGAAGATCCTCGTAGCTATCTCCGTCTACTCCTGCAGACTACTCATTTGACAATGAATTGACACGGTTCAGCGATAATCCCATCTTCAAGGTGGATGAAAAGAGAGATCAAGAAGTGGGTTCACTGTACATCGAAATGGGTCGAGGCCTGGATGCGACGAACACCCCGAACCATGGATAGATGCGCCTCTGGTTCCACCACGGGGAGGCCCGCCATCGCGACACCTAAGCCGTTACATCATGACCTCGGCTGTCCTGGATACAATCGCAAAGTTTCTTCGATGACGAGACACTCGTCCTGTCCTTACGACTACCACTCCAGACACATCTACAGTCGTTTTCCATGAGGGACTCCGGTGCGCTCTCTAGCCCGCGAACGCGACACCCGCAGCCAGCCTTGCCGGCCCAGCTTCTACTCGACCATGCAATTCCTTATCCGCTTAACTGTGGCCGCTCTGTTGGTCCTCACTGTGCTCTGGGTCGGATCGCAAGTGAGCATAGTCCAGCCACAGCAGGAGATAATCCCCGAGACGAATCCGGTGGAGGATGAATATCGAGCGGCCACACCTACCAATTCTATACAGCCGGATATTGCAGATATCTCGCACACTCCTTCAGCCTCGCCTTCTCCTTCAGTCGGCAGGAAGAAGCGTCCGTCGATAACGGACCTCCTCCCATCTTACCAGAAGGACACTGCATCCCCTCAATGGGCCATCGACAACATGCTTGACACGACACAGACACCCATTGACGGCGTCATTGTCGTCGGAAGACTCAAATTCGAGAGACCTGACTGGCTCATCAATGAATTGCCTGAGTAGGTCTCTTTGATCGCAATCGACTCTACTACTTCCCGCTGACATTCCCAAAGCTGGCGCCACGCAATCTACACGCGCGACGACCGTCGGCACCCCCTCAGCATCCCCAAGAATAAAGGCAAAGCCAGCACCGTCTACCTCCAATACATCATCGACCACTACCACCACCTGCCCGCAACGATCGTGTTCCTGCACAACCACCGCAAACCAGGTCACACTGAGTTCCGCGACTACGGGAACGTGGCAGCCGTTACTTTTCTCCGACGGGATTTTGTGCAGAAGAACGGGTTCGCTAATCTCCGCTGTACTACTAGCAGTTCTTCTACTTCAAGTACCGAGTGCGGGAACGTGATTCGTCCGGTTTCCGATAACAAAGAGAGTAGTGCGCAAGCATCGTCGGTTGAACAGGAGTATCCAACTATCTGGAAAACGTTTTTCAATAGCACTGATGTGCCGGAGATGATTGCGACGCCGTATTGCGGGCAGTTTGCGGTGTCGAGGGAGCAGGTGCGCAAGCGGCCGAGGGAGGAGTATATGAGATATCAGCAGTGGGTGATGGAGACGAAGTTGAAGGATGAGGAGATCGAGCAGGTGATGGGGTCATTGTGGCATGTTATCTTTGGGAGGGAGGCTGTATAGTAAGTCAAGTTACCTTTGTCAATGTTTGAGATGATATGCTGACGGGTGTTAGTTGTCCTGATACGGCCAAGTGTTTTGAGGATGTTTATGGGTTGTGATTTTTCACTGCTACGATAGTATAGTTCGATAGTGAGGTAGTGACACTGAATAGATATAGTCACTTATGTGCAAATCTGAAATAGCAACAGCAGTGGCTGAAGTAGAAGGTTGTTGTAGAGTAGATCAAGCGGAGGGAGCTACGCTATTGAATACTACCGCCGCGCCGGCGCGACATGACGTGCGTGACCCACGCAAATTTCCAACTGCTTCAACTTCCATCTCCGACCTCAACCTCCGCACGCGCGCTCCCCCCAACGCACATCAGACCCAACTTCGGGTCACTCTCACTCAGTTCGATGAATTGGACTAGTTCTCATCAATTCAATCACTAACCCCCTATCCACCTACCTACGCGCCCACCCACCTTCAACCGCGCAGCTCCAGCTGCCACCTATCACCACCAAACAACCACCACCCCAATACGCTCACACCCTACCACCAAAATGTCGACACACTACAACACCGAACCGACCGCGACCGCCTCCGCAACCCTACACACGACCCTCGGCCCTCTCCACATCGCACTCTTCGCCTCCCAAACGCCCCTAACATGCCGGAACTTCCTCCAACACATCCAAGACAACTACTACGCAGGGACAATCTTCCACCGGATCATCCCCAACTTCATCCTCCAAGGCGGCGATCCAACCGGTACCGGCTCAGGCGGAACATCCATCTACGAGGAACCCGAATTCGAATACGACCCGACAGCGCGCGATCCCAACGAGAAAGTCGTTTTGCGCGATGAACTGCACAGCCGGTTACGGTTCAATCGGCGCGGATTGGTGGGGATGGCGAAAGCGGAGGATGGGAGCTACGGAAGTCAGTTCTTCATTACGTTGGGTGATGCGAGTCGCGAGTTGAATGGGCAGTGTACGTTGTTTGGGAGGATCGAGGGAGACAGTATTTATAATGTGTTGAAGATTGCGGAGGGGGAGGTGGTCGAAGGGACGGAGAGGCCGGTTTATCCTGTTAGGGTTACCGGATGTGAGGTGGGCGAGTTGGGGCCGTTGGAGGGGAAGATTGTGAAAAGAGATTTGACGGCGAGAAGTTCTGCTACTGCTGCGGGTACTGGTGAAGGGAAGGGAGGGAAGAAAGCGGCGCAGGCGAAGAAGAAGGGAAAGGCGAAGGGAGGGAAGACGCTACTGAGCTTTGGTGATGATGAGGGAGAGGAGGGTGAGGAGATGCCTGTCAGGCCGGCGAAGCCGAAATATAATGCTGCGCTGGTGACGGATACAGCTGGGAATGGCGATGCGCAACCGGCAGAGAAGGAGAAGCTGAAGGCGAGGAAGGCGTCGCCGTCACCACCACCGCGCAAACGCGCATCACCCACCCCTCCACCCATCGACCGACCCAAGACTCCCGACCCAGCGACGCAACTCCCTCTTCGCGATCCAGAATCTCCCGAGCGCTCTCCCAGCCCGGAAGAACAGCCAGCGCAAAAGTCCAAACTAGAGCGGACCAACGCCGAGATCGAATCCTTGAAAGCCTCGATGCGCCGCACCGTAACCACCGAGTCGGACACAGGACGCAAGAAATCCGCATTGGAAGCCATGATCCCTCAGACAGCAATCCGCGGCCGCAAACGCCCACCACCTGGATCCTCAGCAAGTAACAGCGCCAGCAACGGCATAACGGGCTTCTCTAGCACCAGCGACAACGCTGCATTGAAGATGTTCAACGCCTTCAAAGCGAAACTCGAAAACGCCGACTCAACCACCACTACCAGCACCAGCACTAGCAGCAAACCCCAACCCAAATCCCAGAAAGAGAAAGAAGAGGACGAGGAAGACGACGAAGAATCCCAGCTCTGCGACCTCCACTTCATCGTAAACTGCCAATCATGCAAATCCTGGTCTGATAACAACGCAACCGCCCCCGATGCCGCCGATGGCGACGAAGGGACACAGTTAGGCGATGACACAGACCAAGGATGGTTAACGCACCAGCTCCGCTTCGGGAAAGATACACTGGGCAAGGATCTGAAATGGAAGAAGGAGCATCCGGACGATGTGGATAGTTTGATGGTGATTGATCCGCGGGAGAAGGAGAAGGATATTGTTGCGTCGGGGTCTGGGTCTGGGAGGAGGAAGAGGGGAATGATGGAACGGGATCGTGAGAGGGATAGGAAGAGGGGGAGGGTGGGGGACTTGGAGTGGGAGAAGGGGAGGAAATGACTTTTCTCTCGTTGATTAGTTGATGTGTAGCATATTATATCATCTTATACTATACTACTTATACTACCACGTTCGATTAGTATACCGGAGCTGAATGACAGAATAGAGCGTCAACGACATGATCTAAATTATTACTACAGGCAACCACAATCATACTACGACGAAGCATATAAGAAACAAAACATAATATCAAGGTTAACTCGAGGAGAAGAATAAGAGAAGAGAAGACTAATTCCATTTCATTCGATGATATGAACAAACGTGCGCCGCTGTCATTAGAATCGTGGTATGTGTAGAAGCATTCTTTCGCGTACGGTAGGGTAATGAGATAAAGAAACAAGGTGATTCGGCGAAGGGGGAGTTGTAGGAAAGGGAAATGATGTGATTGCTTTTGCTTCTTGAGAGGCAGTCAGTCAATAGAAAGAGGCGTGAAGCCAGTCAATCAATCAATGAATCAATCAATCAATCAGTTCAACCAGCCAACGGAATAGTGGATGTCTTGATCTGTTGTTGCAATCAGGTAGGAGGAAATGGGGGAGGGGGTATAAGGTCTTGACGGGTTTAGTGGTTAAAGGGTAGGTAGGGTAGGGGCAGGGGGAATTCTATGCAGCGATATACCTGATCAGCTCATTTAGAAGAGAAAAGGCAAGACAATTGAGGAAGTGTAAGCTTTTATTCGTATTCGTAATTCCAAGGTTGGCTCTTTATATTGCCTTCCGCGGACACACAACCCCGTTAGTAATGTCATCAAGCAAAAAATGATAAAAAAAAATCAAGCCTTCTTGCGCCGCTTCGCGCCGCCGCCATTGCCCTTACCTCCCTGAGAATCGTTAGTTTCGGACCCGCCATACTGCAAGCCATCATCCACCGTGTTGGCCGGGCTGGTGCTCTCGCTGTCTGGAAGTGCCTCGATGCGATTGGACTCGTGGCTGATGGGGATTTGCGCATCCGCGCCGACTCCTGAGCTCATTGGGTTGGTTCCATAACCGCTGCCGTCGAAACCGTTGTAGTACCCGGCCGTCGACGGCGGGTTGGCTCCGCTGAAGAGATCACCCTCTGCTGGGATTTGGTCGAAATCAAACAGCTCGTTGGCATCCTTGATCACACCGTCCTCGGGACCGGTCGTCGCCGTTGGATCAGCCGATGTCGTGACCGGCACCGAGTGAGACGAGTCGCCGAAATCTAAGTTATGTTTATTATGTTCGAGGTCTCCAATGTCCGTGAAGTAGTCGTTGGTGAATATCTCATCAAAGTTTAGTGGGGGAGGGGGGACGCTGCCGTCAGTGCCAATGCCAGGGATGGTGCCCGTAGGGCTCAAGGGTTGAAGCAGGTTCGTCAGGTTCTGCACGGAACGGTCTTGCTCCGCTTGCATCTTCACCAGGTTATCGATCTCCGCGCGGGTGTTGGCCAGCCGCCCCGAGTAGTTGTGTGGCATCGGTGGTGGTGTCGGGGTCATCAGCGCGTTGTTATGGGACACCGGGGGGCTGGTGCCGCTGGAATTGCTCTCGTTGGCCATCAGACGGAGCATATCTGCACGCTGATTGGGGGTGAGTGGCGAGTTTCCTCCGGATGTTTCAAGCGATGACAGCACATTAGGGAAGTCGGCGAACGTCGTTGGCATGCCGTTGCGAGCATTGGAGTTTTGAATTACTGACATAATGTCACGTTGTGGGTACTGTTGATTTGCTGGCACCGGCGCCTCCTTCGGCTGCGGGCTCGTGTCAAACACCTCCTCGACATGGCCAGGCTGCGACGCACTCGGTTGCCGGCCATGGCCACGCGGTTGTGAGCGGTCATAGGCGGCGGCAGCAGGGGACAATGTTGTCGCACGGCTCTGCCGGTCAGCCCCCGGGGGGGCTTTCAGCAAGAGCGGTTGCTTCTTCATTGACCGTTGGCCACCAGGGCTGTTCAGATTGGACGCACCCAAGGTGCTCAGCGTATAATCGTCCCCCATGTCGACAACGTTGCCTTGGTCTTGAGAGATAGCTCCCGCGAACGAGTTCGCCAGATTCTGCGGTCCTTCCTGCCCCTGCAGACTACGATTGTAGACAGTTGCTAGGAACGTGAGGATAGCATTGATGGAGTTCTCGTGCCGTGTATGCTGCTCCTGGAAGTTGGCCGCCTGCGCGTACAGTTGCTCGTGCTCGCGCCGTAGTTTGCTAATGGTGTTGGAAATGATCTGTTGTTGCTGCCGAATAGCTTGCAATTCTCGATACACGCCTGCCAGTTGGTCTTTAGGCATGACATTGTTCGTGATGAGAGACAATTGGCGGTTGCGCGCACGATCATCTCGAGCGCCAACGCCATCATCCCCATAGTCATCGTGGTCCTGATCCTCCGCTTCCTCGGTCTTCACACGCACATTCGCTTTTCCAGACTTGCTACCCTGACCCGCCGTGTTCTTGGGCTTCTGGATCAACCATAGCAGGTCAGGATGCCCGCGCTTGAAGTATGGGTTGGCGTATTCGCTCGGGCTCTTGTTCTTCCGCTCGCTGGCACGCATCGAGTTGTCCGACAGTCCGACTTTCTTGTGAAAGCCATACATGTTCAGCTGGCGAACGAAAGAGGCGTAGTTGTTGTGTTTAAAGAGCTCCGGAATGAGGGTCTTCGCAAACTCGTCTTCGTCCATAACGATGAAAGAGTTTCCATCATCAGACCATCGGATAAGTTCAGTGTTCTTCGACTCGTCGAGAAAACTAGATTCAATTCAGTTATTATTCGTTCATTCGCTACACGTCAGTGGGTAGACCTACCTGCTCAATTTTTGCACAAACGGAGGGATCTGCTTCCGCTTGGCCTGCGCCTCCCTCTTCGCAACCATCGCGCGCTTATAAAGGTCTTCCAGACTCTCCCCCCATCCCCCGTTTTCTCCACTTCCAGTACTATGATCCGAAAACGGTGGTGTCTGTTCATATCCTCGACCGCGGTTTACCAGTTGAGTTGGGGTCTGACGACGCGCGAGCTGCCCCGGTGCAGTAGCAGTAACGTTGGCCGCAGGCACGTCCGGGCTGGACGTGTAGGCCGTGGCGCTGTAGGGGTTGGCATCAGGAAAGGAGGGGCTGGAGACGCTCGAGGAGCTCTGACCCCATTGCAGAAACTGATCGTTGGAGAGTTGGTTTCCGGGGTTCTGAGGGTAGCTGGAGAGTGGGCCCAGCTGAGGATGGACGATCGGGGATGTGCCAGGCGCAGGTCTCTTGCGGGTAATTCCTTGAGGACTCATCACAGGCGACAAAACCAACGGTCGGTAAAGAGCAAAGGCGTTCTAAGGGGCGAGTAAAGTCGCGTATACGATGGCCTAGCGTCGTCCACTAGGAGGAAAGGAAGAATTACGGCGATTGGGCGAGAGGCGACAGAAGTACTTAGTCGGTCGGGTAAATGGCGGGGTGAGCGGAAGGCCTCAGTTGGCACAGGCAATCCCAAAATGAGGGGGGAAACTTGTCATCAACGTCGTGATTGTCAAATATGTCCAGGGCGATGTCACTCGAGAAGGATGAAGAGCGCTCAGCAGCGGAGGAGAGCGTGGGACTTCAGGCGCAAGTGGCAATGGCGGAGACGCGACGGCGCCGCCGCAGACGCTAGACGTAGTAGCAAGAATCGAAACTTCAGGTGGGCGTCAGGCAATCCGCGAACACGGCAGTTCTATATTGGTCCGGAAAGATGCGTGTGTATGTGATGCAGTTGCTGTATCCGAATGACTTGAGCGAATCGAGGCTGGCGATGGAAATTCAACAGAGCCTATATAACACGGGAAGGCACTGGGGCCGAAGGTGGGTTCAGAGGATCGACCGAGCCGGCGCAACAAAGGCAGGCACAAAGCGCAAAAGAAACAAAGCCTTCCACCACGGGGAGTGAAGAAGAATGGGCGCGACGGAGAACGGGATGAAGCGATGAAGTTGGATCTGAGGGGGTTCAGGACAGGCAACGGCGTCTGTCACCGCCAGCAAACTCGGGAACTCAAGATGCTTGGCGGGCGGTGATGATCTCAAACCTCGGCGGTGAGTCGTGATTGGCCAATGGGCTGAGTCAGCGTACGGCACGTGGGTGAGGGATGCTCAGTCACATTCGGCAGTTTTCCGTTGTTATTCAATCTAGTATCACTCCTGGGCGTCAAAGACTCGTTCTCTTTTACGGGCAGCAACCATCGTCAACGGCAACCATCGCGGCTGACCACGCTACTGTTATGACCTCTACTAAGTACTTGCTAGTGAGGTTGGCTTCCTTCGGGACGGCAAGCTCCCCACTGCCCCATTATCCAATCACCACCCGCTAATCTTTGCGGCCTCGACTTGGCCCATTCTTTCAAACGGCCTGTCCCAAAGCCTGATTTCCTTCCAGAGGTTTCACGATGCTTCTATCGATTTCTGACCCTTCAAAATTTTTCCCTAGTCAAACATCTAGGGGCTGGATGAAGCCAGGCACAGATGTACAGGATGAAAGACAATCAGACGCTCAAACCATCAAGAGGATCAGCTATTCCACTGTCTGGTCACCAGTCAACTGCTGGAAGCGTTTCAGTATTCTCTGCCACAGGTCTGGCTGGTTCTCTGTAAACCGCTCGATCTTCTGCAGGGCAGCCAAGTCCGCCTCCATATGATGCCGCTTGGTCGTACCGTCCAACACCGTAGTGTATCCCAGTCCTAGAACAAGACAGTAAAGGGCTGCAGCTGGCGAGATGTCTGCCTCGTGGGCAAGCAGCTGAACGGCATCCGAGCGAATCAATTCAGGGTTTGCCGATAGCGTCCAAAAGCTCTGGTAGATGATCTGATTTTCCCGGCAAAAGGCCCTCAAGGGAACATCGTATTGCGTGTCGGCATAGAATCGGTTCTGAACCACAGCAGGCTTCACTTTCGCTTGGGCAAAGAGCTCTTTCAGGATGGACAGAGTGGTATTGGATATACCCAGGTTACGGATCTGGTGAGGAACATAGCTTTCAACTGCTGACCAAGCCTCCAATGTCTGAGACATCGTCGGCAGCGGTGAGTGCAGGATGAGCATGTCAATGTATGCATCATTCTCGCTATCTGCCGTGCCCGACGGCCGGAGATTATGCAGCGACGACTTGATAGACGCATGGACCTGATCGGTCACCGAGGCCTTGGGGTCATACGGCATATTATCTGGACTCTGGCCATTGACAGAAGTAAATTTGGTTTGGACCTGACATGAATTAGCAACAGGCAGACATGAAATGCATGGGAGAATTTCTAATTTTGGGTTTTTCCGTGGATTGACCACTTACATGAAGATCTTCTCGTCGGACATAGCCGTCCTGGAGGGCCCTGCGTATGCCTTCCCCGACCAAGTCCTCGCGATAATGCTTGGGTTGGGCAGCAGTGTCCACGGCGCGGAAACCAGCTCCGAGCGCCTGGTGTACCAAATCGGCGGTCTGATCTTTCTTCCAAGCGGTACCGTAGATTAGTGTGGGAATGATGGCAGGAGGTGCGTTTTGCACGGGACGGAGGACATGACTCTCCCAGGAGAGTTTGCTCATTGCAGCGCGAGCCATATTGAGGTCGATCAATTCAATTAGTTGGAAGAAATGCAGGGTTGTAGCCGAGATGCCTTGTCATGATGCCAGGCGGATGAACGGATGCAGGAAGAAAGCAGCGGTTAACTCCGACCGGGTCATCCAAGGTGCGAGCACCTGACTTCATGATGACCTAACTCATAGTGACCCTAACAGTAGTGGATATCGACAAGACTTTGCAAACATAGGTATTTGGATGTGTGTGATAGCGGTGGTCTGCAGCAAACAGTCGATTAGTGATAGCAGCTTTGCTCCGGTCCCTCACATCGGCACACAGGCAGCATCATTATCCGAGCTTTAAGTGGCAGATGCAGGTGTGATGTTTCAATAACCTGTGCAGGAACTAAATATAGCGGGGAGGCAGTGCATCCATCCGATGCCAAAACTTCACCCGCGGGTGGAGTAGGAATAGCTTGTACTGTGTACCTGGGCTTTTCCCGATTTTGAGCATTGGGCCACTTCAGTCGAGACAAATTCCCATGCAGTGTCATGCCAGCTGATGGATAACTCTCGCAGACTTTGTTCGTCGTTGGTTCCAGAAGAGCCCCAACTAACAGTGTCACAGATGACATCATACCTTTATCCCATACTTGACTGCAGTAGAAACCTCCCTTGACTCTATGCCAAAACAGCACTGCACCAGCAGCACTCAACATTCCATGTAACCCCGGGAATCAACCCGATCAATCAATCAACCCACTCCACAAATTACTTACTATTGAACTATCGCGACCCACACCCCAGGGACTCCAACTGCAACGGCACGTCGGGCTACCCCACCGTGGCGGTGCCCTGACACTATCAAACTATACAGCCATTCACAACATTAAATCCAGACTAACTTCCAGGCAACTTCGTTCTCATCTCCGAGATTGGTGTTATCAGAGATGATCAGGGTCCTCCCGCAGCTTGGCACGACCGAATTGCATGTAGCCGAGCTACTGTTCCTTACTTCCACCTCTCTCTCGTGCCGAATCAGGCAAGCTGCGGGTGGGAAGACCTCTCACGAATGTAGGGAGGACAGTTGTTTCCGATATTGCTTTGAGGAGTAGTTGTGCATATGATCTTTCTCCTAGCAGCATGTCACTTACCCCGACTAGTAGTACAGAAAAACAAATATAGAAACAATGTAGGTAGTGGTATACAGAATAACAAGGTATAAATAAGAAGCAATTTCCAGTCCAGCATCAATCTATCATCATCAACAACTTCAATTCCATTAAGAACAATTCAAAATCATAGCTCAATTACTATCACAAGAACAACAACACAAACAGCAGCAAAAGCAAAAACATCAAAAATGCACTTCCATCTCATCCCAGCTCTCCTCGCCATCACCACCAACCTCCTCCTCACTCCCCTCGTCCGCGCCGACAACGACCTCGACTCTGACGACGTCCCCGACCGGTGCTGGTCCGTCTGCGGTCCCGTCGTAGGCATAACCCAAGGCTGCGACCACAAATACGACGACAACGACCGCGCCGAGCTCAACTGCATCTGCAACTGGGTCGAGGCACCTACTCTTCTGCCGTTGTGCGAGGCCTGTATTGCCAATTACCGCAGTGAGCATGACCACGATGATGACCATGATGCGCATGATAATGGTGCGTTTCCTCCCTCCCTCCCAGAAAGAGTTTTGTTATACTAACTATAACAGACGCCTACGACATCCTAACCTCCTGCTCCCTATCCACGACAACCTGGAACGCGGCGGCTGCTACTTCTGCTCTTCAGTCTGTGAACAGCACCAGTGCTACTGCTACTGCTACGGGTTCTGGTGCTGGGGCTAGTGGTACCGGTTCTGTGTCTTCGACCGGTGGTTCTGCTGCTGCTGCCGCTGCTACTGGTGATGTTAATGCCGCCGTGGGGGTGAGCGTTCCGGGGCTTTCGTCTGTGGCGGTGATGTTGGCTATGGGGATGGGGTATTTGGGTGTGGTTTGAAATGTAGGAATTGGTGACTGAGGAGATGAATGGATGGTTATGGTCATGAATCACGAGTTTATAGTATATCGATGAGGCGATCGGTGGTTTTTGTATACCCGCTGGGTTATTCGACATTAGATTGAGGGTTAATGTTCGGAACAGCTCATTTTGGAGGATGTAGTGTGGGTATTATATATGATGGTTATGCTTAGGACGTTCATTACACTGGGAATATGATATATGATTTTGTTCTTCGGGTTTTGAATGAGTTGTAGTGTTATTGAGAGATATGGCTATCTACAGTGAGCGTTTTTGGGATATTTATTATATTAATACCATAGTAATTGCCATTTCTATATTTGGTTTTCGGTGCTACGTATAATGGTCCACATAGAAAGATGAACCGAGCAAATAACTTATAGTAGCAGCTGGAGCACTTTACTAAGAGAGCTACTCATCTATCCTGATATACAGACTAAGCCTACCCCAAGCTAAATGACACGCCTGGTTTATACACCACAGCTGCTGCTACTATTTGTTTTGGTCAATAACAATAGAGAGGCAGCCCCCTCTTCTAAGGAGTAATGATTTAGTTATACCAATTATTATGCGAAAACATGGCAAGGTTTACTCTTTCGGAACGGTTCAAACCGACAATATGGTGCATACAACAATGGGCATCAACCATAGACAATGATTCAATGTTGAAACATGTCTTGAGGCGAAATAGTGGTATTTAGGGAGACGTGCCTGCTGATGACTGCAAGCTAAATCAGTAGTAAAGATACTGTATCCATTTCATTATAAATTCAGCTTCGGAAAAACGCTTCCAATTAGTCCTTTGAGAATCCGAACAATGCTTTTCAATCAGATGAATGTCTATGGCTGCTAAGTTCCTGAGTTACTGGTATGTGGCCTTGAGCTGGGACCAGGATCTGAGACATGACGGGGCTCCTTAAGTTGTTTAATATATATATAGACGTCTGTTATAGCTGCCGGCATTCAAAACATTGTGCGAGATGTCACCGACCTCATTCCGCATAAGATAGTATGAAATATACCATGCCATAAAGTGTTCAAAATGAGCAATCTTATACCTCTTGGCCAAAGAAGACCTCGCAGTTCTCATTAGCCCGCATACTGCTGAAGAATGAGACCTCCAGATCTGAAATAGTTCGCCCTCGAATAAGCCATACGCAGGAAAACGAAAAGGAACTCCAGCTATATACTTTCATCTCCTGTATCTGTGGCATTTTAGAAGTACTGCTTGGCAAAATAGCAGCAACAGGATAATAAAATCATAATGATGCTGGACCCTGAATCCCTAAGAACGAATAATAGCTGGCAGCAAAAACATACATCCTAACACACAGGATCAGGAATTTAAGAAACGAGTAGCGCGATGGCACAGCTCTCTTTAAGCCATATTGTCTGCCACTGACTATCATACACTCTACTCATTGGCCAGCAACACTCCGAATATAAAGTACATTTTCCATATCCCCGAAATAGACGCCCTCGCACTAGCCCTGTCACAAGGTCCTTTTATTCTGAGTTGATAAAGGTACACTGCATAAACAGAGTTTGAACAGGTGCGGCTCAGAGCATATATCGAAGTCAATTGGAGAAACAGGGACATATAAAGAGACCGAAAAGGTGCAAACAGGGAGCTAACTGCGTGGCAAGAAAACTTCTCCGTAAAGCAGGGACAGAGCTAAATATCATTGACAAGGTTTGTGCATACGGACTGTCTAGAACCTTTCACCGCACCGTTGTAATATATTATATAGCACTTCATAGGGTGCTCTAGGAACCACCTATTAAACAGGTTCCCCTAAAAGCACTCATTTCGACTGTACAGTTTTATGATGTGCATTGAGCGTCTCAAGTCTGAATGAATGGTATGTTATCTCTGTGTTAGCATAACTGATTCTTATGCACTGCTTGGGCGAACGACTGCTTTGTTTGAGAGAATGTTGGTGCTGTTAGTCGGCACGGTATCAACAATTCTTAATCACAATGACTTTCCACATGCCAGAAAAATTAGTGGGAAGAATAGTGAGTTGCATATCATTATGCTTTGAGCTCGCTGCGCTAGAGTCGAGCAGGAAATTCTAGCTCCATTCTATCACTGAGCCCGAAGACCATAATGCGTTCGGAAGTTAGACAGAAGCACAGTGGCGTTATGCGATAAACACCAAACACTACTGGATTTGATTCGTACATCGGTATATATTTCTTATTATACTATATTGTACTACCTACTTACTACCAATACAGCATGATTGCAATCATCACGTCACACAGTACTCGAGTACCTGAAGAACCTGTCATGGCCAGTAGCCGCCACCATTCAAAACAAAACGTGCATCACACCCTCATGCCCATCTCCTTGCTTAAAATCGAAATTGCTTTATACTCCTATCAAAGACACGGTCTACGCTCAGATAAGCCCACTAACTACCACCACCTTCCCATCAAACATTCATCTCCGACTCGAATGTCAAACAAGGAGCGAAGCACGCCAGCCACACTCCAAAAGCCACCTAATCTCCATAGTCCGTATAAGCCACACATCACAGCCACATAATACTCCCCAAAGTAATCAAGTCATTACAGGCAACAAAGCACACGCATTCTGCCTAAAGCCCACACCCGCACTTGCACCACCAACCGGTGAGAATTACCTTATCCTGGAAATAAATGCCACGAATACTACTACTCACAGCCACACACCTGCAGTTAAGTACTCAGCCATCCACAACACTCCTGTCTCTCAAACTGCTGACGAGTATGTCCCAAGTTTAAGCAGCATTCCAACACACATGATTTTAAATTAGTCGATTAGGTAAAAAAGTACTTAAGCGAAGCGATATTAACCACCACCTTTTAAAATCTAACATTCCATTCATTCCTTCATTAGAATCTCATCGCATGGATGGAAAAGTTGGAATAAAAAAAAATAAAAAAAAAATTTAACAACCCACCAATCCATTGATTAGTAGGGTTTAGTTAGCACTTAGTTTCCTGCAACATGCAGAGAATCTGCAACCTGGGCGAATACCGTAGGAGAAATCGGGCAGTGCAGACAGGGCAAGGAAGGGAAGGGAAGGGAAATTCTGATAATTCGGAGTGAACCCTTGCATGAGATTTGCTGCACAGATGGATGGTTGAGTTAGCCAAGGGGAAGATTTCTTCATTTTCCAGTATGCTGTAATGGAATATTTCCTAAGTACTCAGTTCTGGATCTCCTCGCTATTCTACTATGGTACCTGTTTAACTGGTTGATAGGGATTGTTATCCACTAATGTTCACTATTTCTACTCTTCAGGTAGAGTTCCCTAATTCAAAACAATTATCCCCTCTATCAGGTGGCTAAAGTTAAGTGAGACGAAGTATCAGTTTCACTTGTTTCATTTTCCGAACTCTCGCTTCGATTCCTGTGGCAACAACCAGATGGATCAGGTGGCTTACATGGCGGCGCGGCGTTTGCATTGCATTAGGCCCCGGTTGCCGGTGCCTAGGATGAAATAGATCAACTTAGACTAGACTAGACTAGACTCTGTACTTAAAACGCCTCCTTCGTTCTGCTCAGGTCCATAAAAAACAGAAAAGAGAAAAAAGGCAATGTCGGATGTTCGGGAATAGGTTCAGAACACTAAGTAGTAGGAGGAATTTTTTTTTATTTCGAAAGATTGGGTAGGCAATGTTCATTGTAATGCTAGTATGATTATCATTTTTTGGGGGGGGGGGGGGCTCCCCTCACCCATACTGCTTGGTGGTGGTATCGACAGGTCTCGCCGCCGCAAAGCATACAAGAAATATTGCATAGCCCACAGTGGGCAGTGGCCCTGACCTGCAAGAAATGGATAGTGATCTGACTTGCCTGCTGAAATGGGCAGAATGTCTCGGATGAATGGATTTGCAGCTCTGTTCGGTCAAATCAAGTCCATCCGTCAGTCAGTCACCGAATACTTGGGCATTCAGTAAACCATTGTAACTTGGCAGAAAAAGGGAGCCCTTTTCGATGATCAGCGCTTCCTGCCAACGAAATATGAGGCATTCAAATGTGTTAATCGTGCTTTTGTTATTTTCATTATTCGCACCATTGCCACCCAGATTAATGATGCAGCACTGCCGCACTGGCGTATTTCTCTCTTAAGTTTGGGTAGATACCTTTGGTGCCCTGACTATTGATTCATGAGGGTGAGGCATTCCTTATCGGTTAACACTGAGGGACTATTCTCCGTAGCGCTTTCTGTGTGTGCCTGGTGCTAATTATAAGCATCGTAAAACTATCCTGAGTGGCCGGAAGTACACTGCACATTGAATAGTCTTCGAGGATCCGAAACTGCTCTGGTACAATAACTCAGTAACACTGTGAGCTACTTTTTCAGGAGCAAGACTTTGTGGTGGGCAAGAAGCCAAACCCACCTGCGGTCTGTTGATCGGATTTGTCAGAGCGGATCACTCGCTTGCTTTTCCACCCACTTTCTGCACCGCCTGCAATAACAACAATGGCAGCATGTACTGACTGACTGTGTACATACTGGCCTTCCGCCCCTCCCTTTCACTTACTCACTATTTGCCCAATTCCCTTCTGGCGACTGCGAGGAAAAGGATCACGTAAAGCGGTCGAGATGGTCCGGAGCGGGCTGCTCCCCCTATCGGCACCGGTCACGGAGCGAATCACACCATCGTTACACTTATTTAAAATCGAAGCTTCCAATCAGCAAGATCGACTGCGCACTAGGCCGGCTCGTGGTGCCTAGCGGGCTCCAGTCCAATTTGCCTGGAAGGAGGATGGAATCGCTCTCGGTGGACTTGGGAACGGACTAAGAATGTTCTATAGAAACGCTTGGGAGTTTAGCTCGCGCCGGGATCGCCCCCAGAACTCCCCGGCAGGCTATGCGACGGGGACTGGCCCAGTCGGCCTCATAAATTACCCTTAGGGCGCCCCCATCAGGTACAAGTACCGAAATCGAATACGTGCTGGAATTTAATCATCTCGATCCCTCCGATGGCCTACGGTTACCGGCCCTGCTGTTAGTCTGCGTGGGAGGCGCCAGATGCAGCGGGCCTCTCTCCATAGCAATATCGGGTGGACAACATCCCATCTCGGGCGCTTGCTCGAGAAGAGCGCATGGTAATCTGACGTCTCCAGTCAACAGGTTCTGGTGACAGTCTAGCGGGTTCTAGCTCGGGGTGTTAATCCCAAACCGCCAATATTGGGTCCAGTTACCCCCCATAGGAGTAGTGGCCATAGTACTCAGTAGTAAGCCAAACACCGAGGCCTTGCGGATCCTCGAAAATGACCTCGCCACTTTTGTACTACTATTGCGGCAATTGCACTTTCGATTATTCGTGGAAGGTGATGGGTCACTAGGCTTGGTCTCGATGCTCTGAGGGAGCGAGTCGAAGAAAAAAGTCAGGGGCCAAAGATTACCTACCTAAATCCTGTATGGTAAGTATCGGTTTCCCAGAAATGGATAGGGAGAAAATTTTAGGTAGTCCTAGGTCCCCGTCGTATATTGGGAAGCCATGGAAAGCGTTCAAGACTTGCGTGTCAAGTAAATAGAGAGGAAATGATGGAAATGTCATGTCCAGACGATAATTATAGCACGGGGTAATCTTAACAGCATTTCCGTACCTGCCTCGACATGCCGGCTGCAGGGAAGGGAAGAAAACTGGACGGGAGCACCGCTAACCGCTCATCAGGGGTCTGCTAAATTCCGAGTGACAGGTAGGATCTCCCCGCCAGCGTAGGGGGTCAGTCGGCATTGATCCTCCTCCCATGGAATGATCGATGTCTACCAAATCGGTGTTGCATGTTAATGCTCTCCAGATGATGGTAGCTGTTGTTTGGATAGTACTTATCTTTCATAAGGAAATCGGGGTAGCATAACAGTTGCACATTCGACCAACGGAGAAACGGGAAAGCTGCAAGAGCTCGTGAACATAGGAGCTTCCCCTATTCGGAGAGGTGATGAAGCTATAGGGCATCCGTTACCCACTCCAGGCGGATCCCGAACCCACCATAGTCTGGCCCTAGGGAGTAGGGACGCGTTGGAGGCTTGCAGCTTTCCCGGATATGAACCATCAGTCAGGAACCTTTCGGGACCACTCAGCACAGTCGTTTTCGTGGACTAGATGGGGTTTCCAATTCAGAAGGGAGCCAAGAGGCAGAGAATGGCCTGCGATTGTCCGGAAAACATCCGACAACGAAAAGAGGATGCGATCTTCGAACCGGTGCGTCATGCGTGATGACAGACCTCCGCCCAATCTAACTTTCCTAGTAGTAAACCTGCTCCTGAGGCAGTCCAGCAGGTAGGTAGCCCGTGCTGCCGGAAGTGGCAAGAGAGGGGGAAATTCGAGGCGGGGTGAGGTGTCCTGAGTGCTCCGGTATCGAGTCTCAGGGACGGAGAGACACGTTGACGGAGAGTCTGAAACATTGCGACAGGGGGGGAACGGACCATACCGTCCGTGATATGGGCTTGGCTACGGAGAAGGGGATGACGATGACGCGGAGGAAGTAACGACAGGAGGCGATTTATTAATGGATCAACAAACCTGGGGATGACAGGGAAGGAGAGAGGGAGAATTGGAACAAAGAAAACGCCCCATTTGAAGGGAAATAGAGAAGAGCAAGCAGCACATGATGAGATACAGATAGATAGTCGCCTTAGACCAGGGGGGTGATTATTTTTTTTTTCAGAGAGAAGGCAAGCAGGGAGGAAGGTGATGGAGGGAAGTCCTTTGAGTCAATTTTCCTATTAGCTGGACCTCCGTACTTCCATTTTCCTCTGGCAACCAACGACACCAGAGGGTCCAGGGGGAGGGAACCGCAAAGGGAGGGGGACGGAGAACGAGGAGAATACGGCTGTAATACTGCTAGTTAGAACGAAGGGAAATGATAGATGGTAAATTAGTGCTCGAGGAAGGTACCGGATGGGCGGTGCAAGAGGAGGGAGAAAGGAAAAGGTACCCCATTTCTTCTGCTAATACTGAATAGGTACCTGGCAGCCACTCTGCTGTCGGTAGAGGTACTTAAGTACATGGCAAGTACCAGCTGCCTATCCAAGAGTCATATCGTCCGTTCCCCTCTGTATGTGCAGCAGCAAAACAACCACGAACCATCAAGCAACCTGAATCAATCTCCTACGAGACTCTGAAAAGGGTGCACTTTTCAGCTTTCTTGCTAACTGTTCTACTAACCACCATTGATCTCTCTCAGTCATTTGGTGATCCACCTTCCTGCTTTTTTGGTTGGATAAATAGTTAGCATTGCTTTTGTTCTTCCCACTCTTGTTTTTTTTTTTTTTTTTTTTTTTTTTTTTTTTTTTTTTTTTTTTTTTTTTTTTTTTTTTTTTTTTTTTTTTTTTTTTTTTTTTATCTTTTCTTATTTCTATTATTTATTTCTGTTCTTGCATCTGCATCCTCCGCTTTATTGTTCGCCCTGTTCCTGTTGGACTTCCTGTTGGACTCATTCGACCTGCCTGTGTGTTTGGACCAATCAGGATCACACTCCCCTTTTGGGCAAAGCCTCAGATTCTCCATCTGAATTTGTTCCCACTTCTTCCACTCCCAACGCTACCCGGACTCGCCTTTTTCCCTTTTCCTCTTCTTTTTTTCCTTTTGTTTTTTTGCCCCCCGCCACTTAACGAGCTGTGCAGAAAACACGCGCAACGGGCATAGATAGCTCAAAGAGGAGTAAAAGCGGGCAAACGAAGAGCAGACATCTCCGATCAGCGACGGCCGTCTTCCAGTGACTTCATCACCCCGTGATATCAGGATCAAGGTTCTACCACCACAAAAAAGCAACGAAAGCCAGAACTAGGCAAGAGGGGGAAAAAATAGCAGCACAACAAATTGAAGAGGAATAAGAAAAGCTGCAGCAACACCAGAAACGAAGAAGGGAAAAAGAAAAGGAAGGGAAAGAAAAGAAAAAAAAAAAAAAAGAAGGTAAGAGCCCACTAGCGAAGGACATCCCACTGGGTACCTTCGATCTTCCCCGTCCGCCGTCCCGTCCCCCATCTGACTCTGGATTACGGGAATCCCTTCATCCCATTCGCTCTCACCTTGGTTGTCTTCTCTGTGTCTCTCGCTGGTGTGTTTGGTTTCTGTGGTTTCGTTTCTCTTTTCCCCCCTCCCATCAAAAGTTCTACCAGTCTTCTACAATCCTGTCTATTTGTGTTGATCATCCATCCTTTTTTTCCCCCCATCTCCCCCATCTTCCCCTACTACCCATTCAGCATCCGATTCGGGTAGGGTGGCCCTTATTTAACATTCCTGGCTATTGTCCCCCTACCACCTCCAACATCCCTCTGACAGTTTCATCTATTGTTGGAGAATTACTGAGGGAGTCAGATCGGGTGTTCCTGACTTTGGGGGCAAGCCTCACTCTCTCGTTGCTTTCTCTCCATCACATTTCCCGCACGATCTATCCAGTGCAGTGCAGCAGAGTGCGTTCAGCCCATCCCCATCGATCTTTTTTATTTTTCCCCCTCTTCTCCCTTCCTTTGGGGTGTGGATTCGCGGAAGAGCAGGGAAAAAAAGACCAGACCAGACCCGACCCGACTAAGCGGTCGCGGTGTTGCCGGCTTTTCTCTCTGCGTGCCGTTTTGGCGGGCGTGCCTTTCCCTTTCCCTTTCTTCCTTTTCCCCCCCAGCAGCAACAAGCAGCAATAAGCAGCAGCCGCAGCAGCAGCAGCACCACCCAAAGAGTGAGATTCCTTTGGTGTTCCTCCTCCTGGACCACCTCCTGCTACTTGCTCGTTCCTCGTTTTCCCTCCTTTCCCCCTCACTCCTCCCATCCTCTTCTCTCCCTCTCTCTCTCTCTGTTCGGCCGTCAAAAAGCCTTGGGCACTGCTTATCCATCCCAGGTAGTGGCAGCTCGTTTCCTTTTCCCTTTTTGCCCTTTTTCCCTTATCTTCTTCTACCCGTGTTAAAGCTCCGTTTATTTTCCTTTGCTTCCTTCTCTTGTTCTTCAATTTTTCCCGCACTCCATTTTCTTTTTCCCGAGTTCTCCCTTCCCTGCCCTCTTCTGATGCCCCCAGGGGTTTTGAGAAGCGAAAGACAAACATAACAAAAAAGGAAAAAAACGAAAAAAAAAAAAATTCAGTTCCTAACATTTTCGTGCTAAAGGATACGACGGCCATTGATGACCCAATAGTCACGAGAGAATTATTTCAGCAGCTGTGAGCGATTTTGCTTGTTTTTCTTCGGTTTTTGTCGCTTCCACCGCGCTTTTCCTCTCCGCAATTACCAACGATCGGTCACTCCCTCCCACCCCTCGGAAAGTTGACCTGTTTTGCTACGATCCGCTCGACCTTGCAAATACCCTCGAACAAGCGTGGTTTGAGTTCCTCCTCTCCGCTAGTATCAAGCGCCTGCCCGGTCGCTCCTATGTTTGAGTAGTTCCGCCAGACACAACAGTTGCGATCTCATTGAACGAACGGGTTTTGTTGTGTGGTGGATTTCAGTGCCCACATTCCTCGGTTTGGTTGCTTCTAGGGATTCTGCAATCTTTTCGCCGCCATGAGCTATCAACAAGCCCAGGACATGTACCACGATAACTCCGCGGCGCGTTCTCCTGGCTCCCAACGCCATCAGCAGCCGCTGCACCGTCAACCTTCTCGTCAGTTTGACGCGTACGGCCCTATGCCTGTGAACCTGTATGACGACATGGCTCGTTACGACACCGGTCGGCTGGAACGCCTGAACTCGTCGCTGCACAACAACTCTTACGCCTACGATCTCGCGGGCTCCCAGACCTGGAATCCCAACGGCTTTGCCAATGCGCAAGCTCTTGGAGGCATTCGGTCGGCTTCGACCAGCCTCAAGACAACTTCGCGCACTGGCAGGGCGGGCTTGCCGACGGTACGTATTCAATTGAGTGGGTGGAATAAAATTGATGGAACCTATCGTTGCTGACTGACGAGTAGACATGGCTTGATCAGCAGCCTGGCATTCCCAGCGCCTTCTCCAACCTCGGCCCGGGTCCCCTCCAAAGCAGCGCGATGCGCCCGGAAGCCTCTGGTCCGTCGGAAGCGGAGGATGAGTTGATTCCCACCGCCATTGTCATCAAGAACATCCCTTTTGCGGTGAAGAAGGAGCAGCTGGTGCAGCTTATGACTGAGCTCAACTTGCCGTTGCCTTACGCCTTCAACTACCACTTCGACAACGGCGTCTTCCGGGGATTGGCTTTCGCCAACTTCACATCTGCGGAGGAGACTGCAACCGTCATCGAGGTCCTCAACCATTTCGAGCTCCAGGGTCGCAAACTGCGGGTTGAATACAAGAAGATGCTGCCGCTGCAGGAGCGGGAGCGGATTGAACGTGAGAAGCGCGAACGTCGTGGTCAGCTGGAAGAGCAGCATCGCCCCATGGCGACCTCGCAACTTCAGACTCAGAGTTCCATGTCGTCTCTCACCTCGCACCTTCCCGCAACCTCCCCGTCTCCCGTCTCCCAGCGTGGCCAAAAGTTGGGTAGGTGTCTTGACTTCCTTGTGCTCTTTTATGGCAAGTCGCTAACCCATGCCGCGTATCTACAGAGGTCGATCTCAACGATAGCACAACGCTTTCGTACTACTCTCAGCTTCTCCTCTTCAAGGAGGATACGGCGCGTGACACCCTCGTGTTCCCGTCCAACCTTTCTCCTGTCCAGCGCCGCACCGTTCATACACTTGCTCACAACATGGGCCTAGGCCATGCGTCTCGGGGATCGGGTGATCAGCGGCAGGTGCATGTTTTCAAGGTCGCTCCCGGCACCAATGTTAGCCCTCCCCTGTCGTCCATCCCTGCCGCTGTCCAACCAGCGGAGACAGCTCGTCGTGGACTGAACCGCGCCGCAACCATTGATTTCAGTGAGTCTCGTAACGACGGACCCACTCATTTTAACACTTTGCGCGGCCAGCCTTCTTCGGGCTTCCTGGGAGTCTTGGACTCCCCCGGCAACTTTGGCAACACGCAGAACCTTCGAGCCGCCAAGTCGTTTGCAGACCTACGCTCCTACACTCCATCCCCCGTCCCCTCTTCTGCCAGCTTCCCTGCAGCCCTGCAGTCTAACGGTGCGCGCCTGCAACACTACGATGGTGCCACGAGCGGCACTTCCAACACCCCGACGCTTACGTCCGCGCCATCCGGCTCCTCCCTCGGTATGCAGCGCGACGACAGTCTGTTGGTGAACAGCCTCAGTAGCCTCTCTCTGGGCACTGGAATCGGTGGGCCGAATGCGAGCCCGAGGAGATTGCGGGGTATGTTCTCTTGGGAGCAGCCAGAAAGTCAGCCCTCTAGCGCTGGTCCCATCGGTAGTAACCGATCCATCGGAGTTGGATTTGACGGTCAGTCACAGGAGCGCATGCCCATTAGGCAGCCGAGAGGCCCGATGCCCGAGAAAGGTCCAGGATTTCGACGCCAGAACGGACACCAATCGCGCGGAAGCGACGAGTTACGCACCAGCTCTGGTGTAGAGATTATTGTGGAGTAAACACTTTGATGGGAAGACGAAGACGACGAAACTTGTTAGATTGCTTTGCCGCAAGATGCATACGACTCTTATATCACGAGGCCTGATCCTGTTCTGCGATTATTGGCTTACGATTCGATGAGGGATGACGAGATGACACTCAACCGAGAGAACCAAAAGAATATTTCTCTGATCTAGCCAAGTTTAGACGTTATTTTGGGGCAGCCCAGCAGGCACGCTGTTTGAACGCAACCTTTTTATGCTTTTCTCCTTGTTTCGCGGAAAATAAACACCTCCCCAAAAAGAAAGCTGTGGACTTTTTGAGACGCGGGCGCCTTGCATGCAGGAACATTTTTTTTTACCTATATTTTTCTTTTACTTTTACTTTACCTTCTACAAATTGTGTCGGCGGAAAGCAATATAAAACCAATCATCAACACCTGGATGGCTACGAAGGACGACAACAAAACGGGATCCGGATGTCTTTGTGTGCCCATGGCAAGAGAAATGACTCACCAGCATTTGCATTTAACCTTTACTTTATCTCCTATCTACTTGTTTGTCACTTTGTATATGGGGCAATTTGCATCATTTAATGTTTTTATTTCTTTGTCAGACGTGTCCAATGTGCTTTGTTCTCTCATCTCCTCTAATCGTGTTTTTTTTATGGAACCCCTGTGATAGTGGGGAGTGGAGGAAATGAACGGAACGTTGTCGGCATACCACTCACACGTATGCAATGTGGCAGTTGCCGAGGACGAGCCATTCATTCTCTTGCGGTCTTTATTTCCCTGACCTGCAGGTGTAATTCAAAAACTTGATGACTTGCATGGCGTGCGTTAGGGGAGATACGGGTGGCGAATCGAAATGGGCGGATATTTGCATTCTTTGCAGCTTCTTGAAGGGAGAGTTTGGCTTGTGGGTATTTCCTAGGGATGAGAATGTCCAGGCAACTATCTAGGTGGACAAATGACAACTTCTTGCAAAATTGTCCGACTGGATGGCGTCTCGTGATTTATCCCTTTTCCGACGGCGGTCTGGCCGGATTATATTTCCCTTGATTTGGCATTGGGCCATTAGGTGGGCTCCTCATTCTCTTCCCTTATCTGCTGCTCTCTCTCTCTCTCTCTCTCCCTTGCCATCCAGATCGCCATACTACTTACTACTACTAGCTGTTGTTTTCTGTATTTATATGTTGGCTCTCCATCCTTCTCTCACACACTCTCCTTCATAAACCCCACAGAACTTGATTGATCAGTTTACTACCTTCAGTTTGTTTCATCATGATCGCTTCGGGACTTAGACTGTAGTATATAGTACTAGGTATAGAGACGTCATTCAGCTGCTCAATTGCATCATTCCGGTTTCAGTTAATTAGTACTACTAGTAAGTAACTATTAGTGTTTCAATATATGTATGTAGATCGCATTGAAATTACTACTAAAGCAACGTGATAGATAATATGATATCAGGCTTTGAACATATACGTACGATAATACTAATGTTTATTTCCATACAAGCGGGTTCAAGTAATGTTACTGAAGGTAGTAAGATCTACTCACACCATACTCATGTAGTACGACTCCTATAAACACCATCCACTCACCCATTCACTTAATATATCACCAGGGCATGAATGAATGGGTCACAATAGAAAGAAGATAAGAGGAAAGGAGGTGAAGAAAAAGGTAGACTCGTACAGACCCGTTAATATTAAGAGAAGACACAAGAGTACAGAAACAAAAGGGGTAAAATGAAAGAAAAAAAAAATCATGGAAATAATAATAACTTTCCCACTACCGAAACATATCCCCTTTTTCCCATTACAGCGCCCTTGGAAAATTTGACATGAAACACGGAATACACAAAAGACATCAAGCTGTCAGGGGAGATAAATAATAATGATAAAATAAAAGATGGGGGGAAGCAAGGAAGAACTTGGAAAAATATCATCTCGAGCTTCGCAGCGTCACGAGAATAGAAGGTGGGCTTTTTTTGTTCGTCAGAAGGACATGACCTTGCCTCCCTGTTCGGGTGTGGTTTTGCAGAGGGGTGGAGGTAGCATCATGATCACAGTAAAGAACCCGTTCCTAGCTTTTTCCCTTTAACGATCATTCAATCACCAAACGCCGGAGTTCGTCGGGTATCCACCATCATTTAAGCCTCAGTCTTGTTCTTCTTCTTTTGCTCCACCTTCAGCAAGAGCGCGCGGTTGATGCGCGGCAGAACACCTCCGAAGGCAATAGTGGCGCGGATCAGGGTATCCAGCTCCTCATCTCCACGGATGGCGAGTTGCAGATGACGCGGGGTGATACGCTTGACTTTGAGATCCTTGGCAGCGTTTCCGGCCAATTCGAGAACTTCCGCAGTCAGATATTCGAGAACAGCAGTGACATACACGGCGGCTGCGATCGGGATTTGTCAGCATAGCTGAAAGAGGAGACAAAGGAAGGTGCGCCTTCTGTGGGCTTAATGGAAAGGATCGTACCTTTGGCGCCAACGCGCATCTTGTTCTGGGTGTTGTTCTTCAAAAAGCGCTTAACACGACCGCAAGGGAACTGTGATCAAAGTTATTGTCAGCGAATGAATCTGATGATAGTAGATAGGCATAAATGTGTAAAGTGAAGCTTTGATGTGAAGGTAAATATGGGAGGGATCGTGACCGCCACCCCTCGCAACCCAGTCGCCTGAACAGTGACTAGCCGGTGCGGTATAGCTCTTAAAGGGGTATTATTCAATATGAAGGAGCTATACGCGTGCTTTTGGAAATATAGAGGCGATCGCGAGGGGTAAAGGAGGCAAAAAGCAAAATCCCAGGCCATAACGGCTTCAGCGGCATGTCGCCGCCAGAACCCATGAGATGGATCAAGCGTCATATGCCTGCCAGGAGGAGGGGGAAAAAGGACTAATACGGACCTGCAGACCAGCCTTTGCGCTGTGGGACTTCTGGCTCTTCCCCGCAGAGTCCTTGGAGCCGGCCTTTCCACCGATAGACTTTCCCTTTCCACCAGGCATTTTGTAAAATCGTCGAGAGTTGGGGCCGCAGGGGCGAAAATGTCGCGTCAGTCGAGGATTAGAAGTGGTAGAGCGTGATGGTGGATGTTGGTGCGATCCGATGCAGCACAAGCACGCGCGTTGTTGATGGATGAAGGAGTCAGAAATGTCAGAGCCATCCTGGTCGCTAAAGACGGGCGTCGACCGTGAAGCGGCGCTAGTCCGTTTTGGGAAACCTGCTCAGCTTCCAACCACGGAGATGTCATAACGGGCGAGGTCGTTGTTGGTCGCCGTTACAGAGGCAGCGATGGACAAGCTTCGAATCGTTGTCTCTTGTCATGGTCCAGAAAAGCATTTCAGCCAAAGCACTGGTGATCCGGCTTTATCGGGCGCATGGGGCTGGGGCTGGGCGTCCACGCCATTGCTGGGTAGAGTCACTCAGTAGTCGAATCCCCAAATGCCCGACACACCACACTGGTAAGCAGATATAATTGCTTCATTAGACTTGCACCAGTAGGCCTAAACCACGGAAAGGGGACAGAGAGGCCTTTAAACCGTAACGTGGGGGGCTTGCACACGTTCGTAGCGATATCAAAGAGGTTGGCAGGAGAGTGTGCAGACCATGATAGTTGCTCAGCGGATTATCTAAGCAACCAGGTGATCTGTGCCTTTGGCCTTGTCCGGGGGACTGTCTGCCTAAGGCTGCACTAGCCCTTGAGCTGCCCATTCAGGTAATAAATCTGCTTATCCTGTCTTATCGCCGCTATCTTCCATCACGCCTTACACTGATACGGCTAGGCCGAGGTAGGTAAGAACAAGCACGTGACTATCACTATCTGGACAGCTGTCCGACTTCCCCGGGGCTCCAGTTCCGCAGTTCGAGGAAGTTTCTGTCCTTGCGCACGCATTCCCCATCCTCCCCAGTTTCACCTTATCGTGTGCTGCTCCTCACTTTCAAAGGCTCCCTGGTCTCAGTACTACCGGCAAGATGGTGTCTCCTCAAGTGTAAGTCAATCCTGCGTTATTCCTGCGCGCGACATGCACAACCATGGTCTGCTGTCTCGTGATGCTACTCGAGGAATAAAAACTGATTTGTCGTCTGTCTTGCAGTACCAACCTGGCCATCATCGTGGTGATGATGCAGCTAGCGAAGAAGGTTCCCTTCGAGGACCCCGATGTCCTTATGCTTGTCCGTGGCATGTACATCCTGTCCAACGTGATCATTCTGGGAGTGTACTTGTACACTCAGTCGAAGATCAACAAAAAGAATGGTATGCTTCGTGTTCTTGCTTTCATTAAGCTACGGTCCTCTAATAATTTGTGATCAGATCTGACTACCCTGAAATACGTGGAGCCTTCTCCTATGGGCAGCGGCGAGGAGCCCAAGCCCGTCACCACTACCAACATGGAGTACGACAAGGGACAGCTCCGCCAGCTGATGAGGAGCCAGCTGATGGGTGTGGGTATGATGGGTGTGATGCACCTGTACTTCAAGTACACCAACCCTCTCCTGATCCAGTCCATCATTCCTCTCAAGGGTGCCTTCGAGTCGAACCTGGTCAAGATCCACGTCTTTGGCAAGCCTGCGACCGGTGACCTTCAGCGCCCCTTCAAGGCCAACAACAGCTTCCTGAACCAGGGCCAGATCAAGAGCGACAAGGCCTCCGTTGAGAACGCTGAGAAGAACTGGAGGGGTGGTGTCAAGGAGGAGTAAGTTGACAGAACCTGGGGAAGGAGCGCGAGGGTTATTGCTAGGCCTTGCCTCCAATGTATTTATAGATGCGGTTTCAATGGAGTGAGCGCAATCCACTATGGATTTGCGCAGTTCTGGCTTCACACTAGCTTCTTGGCTGCTGTGATGGGAGACTTTATGACTATGCATGTCGTCGATATCGTTCGCAATGACCTCTTACTATCAATATAATAGAACCACGTCAGTGGTGACCTCATGTCCTATAATCTCCCATGCAGCAGCATGACTCAGGAGGCGAATAGATAATTTTGAAATCCCTACTGATACGGCTTCCCAACGAGGTAGGAGCGGAAAGGATGATGAGTGGCGAAGTACCTGCCGATGCTTTGTTGTCTCACGACTTGAGTCTCCTGATATACCAACATCGGTGGCCGGTGAAGACAATGAAGACATATTTCTAAGCAATACGGGCTGTGGCCACTCCGTGCCACTTGTTTGAAGTAACCTGTTGCATTTACCCCATGTAAGGCTGGAGGCTGGATGGGGCCACTTTGCAGCAGTATGTAGAAAGTACTAGAACCATCTTCCGGTCTCCGACACTGGACAATATTGACACGGCAGCATGATCATGAAACCCGAGTCAGACCAGAGCCGTTCGGATTGTGCTATACCCCAAGTCACGTTGTCCATAATTGAATAAATATGAGCACTCCTTTGTGGCGTGGAAACATACTTAGCATGTAGAGACAAACCTTGGTGCGCGGCTTCAGGCGGGCATAGGTAGTATGCTACGGTACCACCGATCTTATGGTACCAGAAAAAGTCCCAGCCAGTCTAATCCCCATTCTAAGCCACATGCATCCGTTCTCATGCATCTGACATATCAGATTCATCCATCTGGTGCAGTATCTATCAGAGGCCAGAGCATCACCAACATGGGTACCCTGAGCAATAATATGCATGCATTGTGCCCCCCATGGAGCCATAGCTTTCAAGCAATTAGACACGCGCCCGGCCGAATGAGATGAACCGTTGGAGCCATCATCCCACTCATCCCGCTCCATAAAGGAGAGAAAGGGAAAAAAAAAAAATTTATGACCGAGCGCGTGATGACCGGTGAGGAACTCCGGTGAATTGATTTGGGTGACGGGAGAGACCCAAGAGGGGCCAGAATAATAAGAATGGGGAAGGCGAAGGTACCGCCTTTGGGGTCCAGCCACGCGACTCCAACATGGAGGGGCACTGGACTAACATTATTCCAGCACCGGGATCACGGGCCGAAAGCGGCAAGGCCGGCACTGCCCCTCTTTTTGGGTGAAAGAGCTGGCAGTAACTTAACTGTACTTTCTGGAGTGAATAATACTACTACTATGAAAGACCGCGATGGGCCGATAGTAGTAGTTACTTCCATTACATCATCTCATCCGCCTGGTTCCTCGCCTCCGCGGCAGTCTACGGGTAGGATCGTAGCAGAAACCCGGGGGATAGACCCGTCGTCCCGAGCTGGAGTTCCGTATAACCTAGGTAGAAGGTATCAATTGAACCCGAACAACTGGCAAAACATTCTCGAGATCGTAGGAGTGAGTACCCGGCGTGATGGAGGGGGAGCACGCTCATTGGTCCGTACGGCAGCTGCCGAGGGGGAGCAGGAGATCCAAATATCGTGAGTCTCCTGCTTTGCCCGGTGTATGAAACCGGAAAGGACTGCTGGGGAACTGGGGAGCGGCGCAAGCCGGGAATCCCAGCTGACAATTGACCCATCCTCATGCCGTGGCAGAGCTTGAGGTAGCTTTTGCCCCGTCTGTCTCCCCGGTGTGCGCATTCGACTGGGCGCGGCATCTGTGCCTCCTCCAGGAGCGGAGGACCCAGTAGTAAGTAGGCCTGACCTGGTCGTTGCGTCAGTCCAGAGGTTCCCTCCCCTACCCTTTTTCTACTTCCCCTCCCCCGCCGCTCAACTTTTCTTTCCCTTTTACTTTCTCTCTCTCTTCCTCTTCATCCATCCTCTCTTCATCACTTCCCTCTTCCCTTCATCCAATTCATCTTCCAAGTGAGTCTTCCTCCCCATCTGTCCCTCCATATTTCCCATCATCATCTCCCCTCCCAGCTCCTCCCCTCCTCTCGTCTCCTCACGAAGCTTGACTAACCATTACCCCGCCACATAGACACATCTAAACAATGGCTCCCAAGGTACGCCAACTACCAGGCGCGGTTCAGCTATCTACCAGCCTGATGATCTCGTATACTCACATCAATGCTATTTAGGTCGGTATCAACGGCTTCGGTCGTATCGGACGTATCGTAAGTTGCTCTTCCCGCATTACTGCTTTCGGTTGGTAGAGACTAACTCGGGTGTACAGGTCTTCCGTAACGCGTGAGTGCTATCCTTCACCCGTAACTTGACGGGCCCACCCGGGGCCCATGGAGTCAAACCGACATTGCGAGAATGTTATACTGACATGTTTGGCTACACAGCATCAACCACGGCGAGGTTGACGTCGTTGCTGTCAACGACCCCTTCATCGAGACCCACTATGCTGTACGTTCTGCCCTCATGCATTGTCTGCTACAGATCAACCAGAAGCAAGTGGCTAACGGAGTGAATCTGCAATAGGCCTACATGCTCAAGTACGACAGCACCCACGGCCAGTTCAAGGGCACCATCGAGACCTACGAGGAGGGTCTGATTGTCAACGGCAAGAAGATCCGCTTCTTCGCTGAGCGTGACCCCGCTGCCATCCCCTGGGGCACCACCGGCGCTGACTACATCGTCGAGTCCACTGGTGTCTTCACCACCCAGGAGAAGGCCGCTGCTCACTTGAAGGGTGGTGCCAAGAAGGTCGTCATCTCTGCTCCTTCCGCTGATGCCCCCATGTTCGTCATGGGTGTCAACAACACCTCCTACACCAAGGACATCAACGTCCTCTCCAACGCTTCTTGCACCACCAACTGCCTTGCTCCCCTCGCCAAGGTCATCAACGACAAGTTCGGCATCGTTGAGGGTCTCATGACCACCGTCCACTCCTACACCGCTACCCAGAAGGTCGTCGATGCCCCCTCCAGCAAGGACTGGCGTGGTGGCCGTACTGCGGCCCAGAACATCATCCCCTCTTCCACCGGTGCTGCCAAGGCTGTCGGCAAGGTCATCCCTACCCTTAACGGCAAGCTCACCGGTATGGCCATGCGTGTGCCCACCTCCAACGTCTCCGTTGTCGACTTGACCTGCCGCCTGGAGAAGGCCACCAGCTACGACGAGATCAAGAAGGCCCTCAAGGACGCTTCCGAGAACGAGCTCAAGGGTGAGTTTCCAAAGATGAAATGACATCGTCTGGCTTGACCACTAATCTTTTCCCAGGCATCCTCGGCTACACTGAGGACGACATCGTCTCCTCCGACCTGAACGGTGACGACCACTCCTCCATCTTCGATGCCAAGGCCGGTATCGCCCTTAACTCCAACTTCGTCAAGCTCGTCTCCTGGTACGACAACGAGTGGGGTTACTCCCGCCGTGTCGTCGACCTCATTGGTAAGAACCTCTTATTCTCCTATAAGAAATTGGTGACATCTCACTAACCTCTCTTTTAGCCTACATCTCCAAGGTTGATGCCCAGTAGGAATCAGGACGGCAAACTGAATTCAGAAGTGTGCTGTGAGTGAGACTGATTGCCGAGCGCAGACGACTCTCGTGGAACCCGGCTTGTGGAGAAGCTTGAGAAGGTCTTAACTCCTAGCGTAAAAGCTCATGATGACGTACAATTTAATGAAATGATACAATGTTCATATTTCACGTTCAAATTTCCGGCCTTGGTCAGTGCGTAAGATGTCCACGACTGAATACTAACTCAGTATGGGTTTGGTAGCATTGGCAATGTAGTTATAAGCATGCACCGGTTGAAAACGTCGGCCCCAGATGCAATGCTGCGGTGGTGACTAAGCTCTGCAGTGAATGGAATGCATTTCCTTGATCGACTTCGGCGAGCCGCGGGATTTTCTCGGCGCTTCTACTGGTGCAGAAAGGACGATACCACTGGCTTTCGGTCCATGCCACATCCCAGTCTCCCGGGAAATTCATATCATACTTTAAGAAACAAATCGAGCTCAATAATTCCGTCTTTAGAGTTCACTTGGTACTTTTGGGTGGATCGAGGGGTGTCCGCGGCCATCCAAGTCACGTGGAGGGCAGCTAGACCACGGATTTTAGAGCTACATTGATCCAAGACTCCTGGACCAGATCTCCTCTGCTGGTGTGCGCGTTGCGGTGACTACCGTACCAACAGCCGCCCGTGGCCTTTTAGACTTGGCCTGAAGTTGTATTTTGCGACACTTTCACTTGCTTCTGATACGGCCTGGTTTTCCTTGCATTGGTCGTTGTCGCGGCTGAGCCTCTGAGCTTCGGACCTAGTACTATCTACTAGTTCCCTTGTTTTGTGCTCTCGCAACTCTCCATACAGCGACCTCGGTTCTGCTTGTGTGCTGGCTCGCAAGGCTCCAACCCCTACCATCTTAGTCTAATCTCTTACTTATCCCTCACTTGTCTGTCACCTGTTCCTTGGGTCATCTGCATTCGTCGTATTCCGGGTGTTTCTTTGAGGGAACTCCACCGTTTGTTGAACATTATCTGACCCTAATCTGCGCATTTGACCATGACATTTGCGCGCTGATAGATTATCAGTCAGGAAGAAATTAGGCGCACTTTCACACTTAATCTCTATGGCAATGGATGAGGACGAAGACACCGTCATGGGAGAGGCAGGCTCCCACCACCCCACCTCTGTTTCTTCACATCAATGGCCAAGCAATGGACCCAGTAGCCAAGGTGCTGGCCAGCTCAATGGTAGTTCGGATCCATCTATTGCACCGCCACTGCTGGGTCCGACCATGAAGCTGCCGTTATCTGTACACTCGGGAGACCCAAGGCCTGAGAACACAGCATCGGCAGAAGATCAGGGAGTGTCGCCACCGAAAAGCCTGCCTAAGTCAGACTCCGGTGACGCAACTACTGAAGACTTTGACAAGCAAGATAGCCTTGTCGAAGACAACTCGGACTGGACTGATGAGGATACTGTAGCCCGCACTGGGCTTCCCATCGCCTCACTCCCTTCCGGGTTATGCTATGACGTTCAGATGCGCTATCACTGTGAAGTGCGGCCAACAGCGGACGTTCATCCAGAGGATCCCAGACGCATCTACTACATTTACAAGGAACTTTGTCGAGCAGGACTAGTCGATGATCCCGAATCGTGCCGTCCGCTTGTCTCAAGACCACTGAAGCGCATCAACGCTCGCAACGCTACTGAAGCGGAGATATCGCTTATTCATACGCCTGACCATTATGCATTTGTAGAAAGCACCAAAGGTAGAACTATGTTCATTGTCTTTCAAGTTTCGATATTCTAACGAATGACAGACATGTCTGATGATGAGCTGATTGCATTGGAACACACACGTGACTCGATATACTTTAATAAATTGACGTTTGCATCTTCGATTCTGTCAGTTGGAGGCGCGATTGAGACATGCTTGGCTGTCGCAACCCGGAAGGTGAAGAATGCCATTGCAGTCATCCGGCCTCCGGGGCATCATGCAGAGCACGACAAAACCATGGGATTTTGTCTGTTTAACAATGTCTCTGTAGCGGCGCGTGTTTGTCAGAACCGACTAGGTGACAGCTGCAGAAAGATTTTAATTCTCGACTGGTATGCTAGGCCCTCTAGACTTCGATTTGCGGAGATACTGACCGACTAGGGATGTCCATCACGGTAATTAGGGGCCCTGACAAGCAGAAAACGAAAGCGTCTGACTCGGTTTTCTAGGGAATGGTATTCAGAAAGCCTTCTATGATGATCCCAATATCCTATACATCTCACTGCACGTGTATCAGGATGGGAAATTCTACCCTGGAGGGGAAGAAGGTGACTGGGATCACTGTGGTGAAGGCCCTGGTGTCGGAAGGTATGATTTGCAGTTCTCTGTTTGGAAGCTTCTAACAAGTTTAGAAATGTGAATATACCTTGGCCGAGCCAAGGGATGGGCGATGGTGACTATATGTATGCCTTTCAACAAGTTGTCATGCCAATTGCCCACGAATTTAACCCGGATCTTGTCATCGGTACGCAACACTTCAATTAGCGGACGTGTTCATCTCTAACCGATGTGAACCAGTTGCCTCTGGGTTTGATGCGGCTGCAGGCGATGAGCTTGGAGGATGTTTCGTTACACCTTCGTGCTACGCTCACATGACACACATGCTCATGACGCTTGCCAATGGCAAGGTTGCTGTTTGTCTCGAAGTATGCACATGCGGTAACAATTGAGGATTGTAGGCTAATGACATAATAGGGTGGTTATAACTTCAGGTCTATCTCCAAGTCAGCACTCGCAGTCACAAAGACACTGATGGGGGACCCGCCGGACCGGCTTCATACCACCTCACCTTCAGCCCTGGCCACCACGACTGTCCGGCGTGTGATGATGATTCAGTCTCACTATTGGCATTGCATGTATCCTAAGGGGCCTCCCCAAGATGGGCTCTTCACCGATAGGCTTCATGGTAGGCTTTCGCTCCCTACATCCGGCACTGCTAACCTCTGCAGATGTCATACGCGCCTACCAGTCGAAGCAACTATACGACAACTACAAGCTCACATCTCTCTTCATATATCGGACCGCCATCTCCCGGTCATTCGAAAATCAGGTTCTAGCAAGGTAAGTAGAATCACAGTGATTATGGCTGTGCTAACCCATGTAGTTCCAATTATCACCAAGCCGTGCCACTTGTAGTGATATTCCATGATCCGTGAGTTCGATAAGCTGTCGACTAGTCAAGCTTCTTGTTAACATAAGTAGGCCTGAGATCATGGGCTTGCCCCATCCAGTCACCAACAAGCTGGAAGCCCATAACTGCTGGCTGGTATGTGTCTGCGTCATAATATAGCACATGTACTGACAGTGGTAGGCTGATGTCATGAAGGACTACATTGGGTGGATCGTTAGCAAGGGGTATGCAGTCATCGATGTCAACATCCCTAAGCATGTGACAATTGATCCTGTGAGCTCAGTGGCCTTTCCAACTGTTGAATGAATACTGACCCATGCAGTCATCCGGTAAATATGAGGAAGAAGACGAGAATCGTCCCACGGCTACTGAGGAACTGGCGGGCTACCTGTGGGACAACTATATCGAGTTAGTGAGCCGAAACTACCAAAAGGCAGCCGGGGACTGATAATTGCAGACCAAGCGAGGCCACCGAGATTTTCTTCATGGGCGTAGGCAATGCTTTCTACGGAGTAGCCAACCTACTGATCAATCGAGGTGAGTTATTATGGTCGAGAATAGAGGCATCAGCAGCTGACGTGTGAACAGAAACATTGTATAAACGAGTGAACAGCGTTGTTTCCTTTGTTGCCGAGAACCCGGTTCGCGCCATAGCCTCACACACTCAGGTTTGGCTGTCGCGGTGGTACAAAGATGTAAGCTGGCTTACCCCCTTATGTCCTGATATTCCATCATACTCACATTCCCATAGAACTCCCTTGTATTCGTCTCGCACACGCACGGCGTCTGGAACAACGTCGAAACCCGGCGCAAGCCATCCAAGCGCTACGGCCAACTCGTCCAGTCTCCCAAAGCCAGTCTGAGTGAGATGCTCATGCACCACAAGGAAGAGGTATACCAGTGGATATCCGAGCGTGCGGATGTGCAGGATAGCGAGGAGACGGAAGATGAGAAGAAGCCCAAGTCGAAGAGTCGGTCCCCGACGAAGGAGAACCAGACGGAGCCCCGTTCGGTGCCGGGCTGAGCGGGTTATTAAGTGGATGTGCGAGCTGTACTTTTGTTTCTGTTGGATCTATGCATAGGTGGGAAGTTCGGTTTTGTCTTGGATGATCGTCTGCAATTGTACCTAGTAGAGACGCAGGGTACTCGTTGAGCATACTTCATAAGACATGTCGCTGTCATTATTCACATATTCAACACTGATAATAGGGTAGCTCTGTATTAGATTGTTAGTCTACCGGGCAGGAAAGACAGTCCCTCATCTCACCCAATGTAGTGTGAATTACCCGCATGGTACCACCCATAAACAGGCATCATCACCGATTTCGCATCCATTCACAAATTCCCTCATACAACATCTTCAACCCACGTAAGGCCCCCCATCAATATATTAACCCATTTCAACTCAATACAATGCTATCTTATCCCCTAGCCACAGCCCGCTGTAATACGAGCAACCTACATACAGTCTTGTTCTTCTGCCAAGGAAATCCCATCCGATCATCCGAACCTCCGCAACCGAACTGAGACATACATGAGTAGTTCAACCATGACTCCTCCACAGCCGAATCTCATGACTGGATGATTGTAACTTATACCCGATATCATACTGCTTATGTGCTTATGCACCTGAAAAATGAGAGTATAGAGTGGTTGGAGTAACCATAAGCGTCTGTCTCTCTCACAAATGTAACTCAAATGTCTCACGCACGAACCCCGCGGGGTAAGCCGCACAGTACTATCATCATACCTTCTTATTACTATGCATGTATTCGGGTGTATGTACGGATCAGACAGAGCAAAAGTATACTTACCCAATTATAGCTGGGCAGATTGCTTGATTGCCGGTTTATCTATTATGGGACGCCTTAGATGTGGTGAGATGAGTTCCATTGGTTGGGTTTTAATCGAGGTCAGTTGATTCATTAAGGAATGTTCGCTTCGGCTTGGTTTGATTCGGTTCGATCGAAATCGAAGGTGGGTATTATTTTTGGATGGCACTATGCGCTGCTAATGTACTTGGCGATGGAGATGGAGAGGAGATGTGAGACATTATGACCTATGCCTATGCCATTGATGGAAATTGGGTGGGATGATGTAGTTTCTATCATTCTCTTTTCTTAAGAATATGTTCAAAGACTAGGAAGGATAAATGAGGTATATAAAGCGCCCTGACTCCCTTCCTCCAAGTTCTATCCAACCAGCCATCCAACAATCTACATATCCACACCAATCTACTACAATCAACAACCAAAATGCATCTCTCTACCAAGTCCCTCCTTTCTCTCCTCCCCCTCCTCCCCCTAGCATCTGCTGTCGGCTCCGCCATCGTGCAAAACAACTGCACCTCCCCCATTTACCTCTGGTCGGTTGGCGGCTCCGTCAGCAGCATGCAAACCATCGACCCCGGATCCAGCTACAGCGAGACCTTCTACTACGATACAACCTCCGGCGGCGTTGCCCTGAAGATCACTACCACGGAGAATGGTCTGTACAACGGCTCTCCGCAGACGGATTACGCCTATACGCTGGACACATCCTCGGGTAACGTCTTCTATGATATTTCGGATGTCTTTGGGGATCCGTTCTCCGGCAGTGTCGTCAGCCTTGTCTCGAGTGATTCCAGCTGCGAGAGTATTTGCTGGGCTGGGGGAGTGCCCCCCGCTGGCAGTGTTGTGAGGAGTTGTCAGGATGAGGCGGATGAGGTGTTGACGGTTTGTGCGGATAGTTGCTAGGTTATTGGGTCTGGATTAATTGACTTGTGGGAATTGAAGGGACAACTGGGTTGATTGGGGATTTAATGTTGTTGTTGTTGTTGTTGTTGTTGTTGTTGTTGTTGTTGTTGTTGTTGTTGTTGTTGTTGTTGGGTTCTCTTATGGATTAATTGAGGGATGTCTGGTGAACTGTGTCTGTGTTTAGATGCTGGTGACTGGACCAGGAAGATATGTGATGTGTTTATGAGGATATAGGAAGTATAAACCTAATGCTACATTGCTTGTTGTATTGGACAGTGATCCCCTCTCTGTTTTGGTATATATGTTCCAAATCTGGAGCAGTGAATATACGGTCTAGTCCTCAGTGAAGCATTGGTCTATTCCTGTGGCATTGCTTGCATGAGAGCCAATCATTGGATCGATGACCATGTGTTCTGGAATGGTGGCTAATTCACTACATGTATCATCGCGTATTTGTTAGTGTGTTCTCAGTTGTCGCGTGCATATGGTTGTAGTAGTATACAGGTGCTCGCCGTAATCGGCTAGCTGTACTCCACAGTGAGCGGAGACAATGCAATCTGGGTGAAGAAAACTAGATGAGCCACCACAATTAAGGCTACTTAGAAGAGCTTTTCCCAATACATCAGCATACAATATTACTAGGACCAGGTAAAATAAAATTTTAGACTCATTGATTCCGGACTGGACCGATCATTGGAAGCTGCACTGAATTTGTTAATGTCAAACTGCGGAGTTGCCGAGGTATATATAGTAGCAGAATTCGTAGTAGTGCCCGGGTGAAGGGCAAGCAGTTGGCGTTGAAATTCAACAACTTGAAAGACCGAAGTTGAATCTTGATCATAGTTAGATAATGAGCTATACAAATTAAAGAAATAGCAATTATTCACTTGCAACAGATAGTATACAAGGTGAACTACTAAAGTATCCCCACTGTTGACCGCCTTATCGCGGGGCCTCACCGCCTATGACTCCAAGCATCCATTGTGCATCGCCTCCCGCCGATGGCCACCGACAAGTCACTCTCCCTCCTTCGTGCCACAGGATATACTTCGACCATTGACCCGGTAATTGCCTCGCATTCCCCTTCACCTCTTCTTACGTGGCGTTTTGCTAACCCCATTCACTCTGCTCAGTTTTAAAACTGCTAATTTCAAATACGGGATCTCCCTACCCCTTTCACTTTTCACGCCGGCAACTTTCCAACACCGCCTGCGCCCCGAGCGGTGCTTCCCGGCAACCGATCCCTCCTTTCTCTCTGGATGCCTCCAAGGTCCCCTGCAACACGCCGCTTGTGGAAATTTCGAGTGCCTTTATATCTTCGCTCCCCAGCTTTTCGCGCGTTCTCCAAGTTAGGCGCCTCTGCGGCGATTGCCCCTCATTTTATTTACCCCTCGCCACGCTTCCCCACGCCGAACGAGCGCTGCTCCTCCTTTCCTGCCCTGCGCTCGTCTCACGCCCTTGTCTCGCTTTCTATCCCCTCTCGTGCTCGCTTTTTCTCTAAAACCGCAACCATGGGATCTATCGAGCGCATCGCTGAGCAGTTGGAGAAGCCGGAGCTCGATGATCGCTCCTATCGTGTCATTCGCCTGCCGAACAAACTAGAGGCTCTTCTCGTACATGATCCAGACACGGACAAGGCTAGTGCGGCCGTCAATGTCAATGTCGGCAACTTTTCAGACGCAGACGACATGCCGGGCATGGCGCATGCGGTAGAACACCTGCTTTTTATGGGAACCCAGAAGGTAGGTGGTCGTCCCCTCTGAAACATTAGACCCATTGCCCGCTTGGGTTTATGCGGCAAGATGTTAACCCTGTGTAGTATCCCAAGGAGAATGCCTACAATCAGTACCTAGCATCCCACTCCGGTTCCTCCAACGCCTATACTGCAGCCACCGAGACGAACTACTTCTTTGAGATCGGTGCCACACCTGCCTCTACCGAGGACACACCCAACGGCGCCAATGGAACCTCGAACGGCACAGACACACCCGCAAAGCCGAACTATCCCACGTCTCCACTGTACGGCGCTCTGGATCGCTTTGCGCAATTCTTCGTAGAGCCCCTTTTCCTCGAGTCGACCTTGGACCGCGAGCTGCGGGCAGTTGATTCGGAAAATAAGAAGAACCTGCAGAGCGACCTGTGGCGGTTGATGCAATTGAACAAGACTTTGTCCAACCCTGCCCACCCGTACCACCACTTTTCGACCGGGAACCTGCAGACTCTGAAAGAGGAGCCGCAAAAGCGGGGACTGGAGGTCCGACAGGAGTTTATCAAATTCTACCAGGCGCACTATTCGTCCAACATCATGAAACTGGTGGTACTGGGACGGGACCCTCTGGATGAAATGGAGCAATGGGTGGGCGACTTGTTCAAACATGTGAAGAACCAAGATCTTCCCCAGAACCGCTGGGACCACGCTCAACCATGCCTGCCGGAGCATTTGGGCAAACAGATCTTCGCCAAGCCAGTCATGGATATGCGCTCGCTCGATATCTACTTCCCGTTCATGGATGAAGAATCGATGTTTGAATCCCAACCGAGCCGGTATCTTAGCCACCTGATCGGCCATGAAGGTCCAGGCAGCATCCTAGCCTACATCAAAGCGAAGGGTTGGGCAAACGGCTTGTCCGCAGGCGTGATGCCTGTCTGCCCGGGCTCCGCCTTCTTCACCATCTCCGTTCGGCTGACACCCGAGGGTCTGAAACAGTACCGCGAGGTCACCAAGGTGGTGTTCGAATACATTGGCATGATCAAGGAGCGGGAGCCCCAGCAGTGGATCTTCGATGAAATGAAGAACCTGGCTGAAGTCGAGTTCCGATTCAAGCAAAAGTCCCCGGCCAGTCGCTTCACGAGTCGCCTTAGCAGCGTGATGCAGAAGCCTTACCCCAGGGAATGGCTTCTCAGCGGCAGCCTCTTGCGGAAGTTCGAACCCGAGCTGGTCAAGAAGGCGCTGTCGTACCTGCGACCCGACAACTTCAGAATGGTCATTGTCGCCCAGGATTACCCTGGCGATTGGAACTGCCGTGAGAAATGGTACGGAACTGAGTATAAGGTCGAAGATATTCCGCAAGACTTCATGGACAGCATCCGCAAGGCTGTGGAAACCTCCCCCGAGAGCAGACTGTCTGAGCTCCACATGCCACACAAGAACGAGTTTGTTCCTACCAGGCTCTCGGTGGAGAAGAAGGAGGTGTCTGAGCCGGCCAAGACCCCCAAGCTGATCCGTCACGATGACCACGTCCGATTGTGGTACAAGAAGGACGATCGCTTTTGGGTCCCCAAGGCGACTGTTCATATCACTTTGAGGAATCCCTTGGTGTGGGCTACACCGGCAAACCTGGTCAAGGCCAAGTTCTACAGCGAGCTGGTCCGCGACGCTCTGAATGAGTACTCCTACGACGCTGAGCTTGCTGGTCTCGACTATTCGTTGTCTGCCAGCCTCTTCGGCCTTGATATCTCAGTTGGCGGATACAATGATAAGATGTCAGTTCTCCTTGAAAAGGTGCTTACGAGTATGCGGGACCTGGTCGTCAAACCGGATCGTTTCAACATCATCAAAGAGCGTATGACTCGGAATTACAAGAATGCGGAGTACCAGCAACCATTCTACCAGGTTGGCGACTACACTCGCTACTTGACCGCCGAAAGGACGTGGCTCAACGAGCAGTATGCCGCTGAGTTGGAACATATCGAGGCAGAGGACGTTTCATGCTTCTTCCCTCAAATTCTCCGCCAGAACCACATTGAAGTGCTGGCTCACGGTAACTTGTACAAGGAGGATGCGCTACGTATGACCGACTTGGTGGAGTCGACTCTTCAGAGCCGTACTCTGCCTGAATCCCAGTGGTACGTTAGACGCAACATGATCCTTCCCCCGGGCGCCAACTATATCTACGAGCGCACCCTGAAGGATCCCGCCAACGTTAACCACTGCATTGAATACTATCTGTTCATCGGTAAGATTGACGACGATGCTCTGCGGGCCAAGCTGCTGCTCTTCGCTCAGATGACGGATGAACCTGCCTTTGACCAACTGCGGAGCAAGGAGCAGCTTGGTTATGTTGTCTGGAGTGGTGCCCGCTATTCTGCGACGACCATGGGCTACCGTGTGATCATCCAGAGTGAGCGCAGTGCTCCTTATCTCGAGTCTCGCATCGATTCTTTCCTGACCGGTTTCGGAAAGTCTCTGCAGAATATGTCAGAGCAAGATTTTGAAAACCACAAGCGCAGTGTTGTCAACAAGCGACTGGAAAAGCTTAAGAACTTGAGCTCTGAGACCAATCGCTTCTGGTCGCACATCGGCTCGGAATACTTCGACTTTGTGCAGAACGAAAGCGATGCTGCGAACGTCCGGAAGTTGAGCCAGGCCGATCTCATCCAGTTTTACCAGCAGTTTGTCGACCCTACGTCCGCAACTCGGGCTAAGCTGGCGATTCACCTCAAAGCCCAGGCCGGTGCCCATGCGCATGCCACCAAGCCCGAGGAGCAGAAGGCTCAGCTGATTTCACTCTTCGGCAAGCAGCTGGAGGCGGCTGGCTTCGCCGTGGACACGGAACGTTTGGGCGCCGCTTTTGATAATGTCGACGTGTCGAGCGGCGACGAGGCTCAGATCCTGACCACTCTCAAGGCGTTCCTCGAATCTGGCCTGAGTCTCTCCGAGGAGCAGACGAAGCCCGTCATCGGGCAGGTCGAAAGCAACCTGGGCCTGCAGTTGAAGCAAGTGGGCATCGAGCCTAAGAAGAGTGATGGAACTGCCCTCCAGGCGAATGGCACGAACGGTGACATTCAGAAGTCTACCTACATCAACAATGTTCCCGAGTTCAAGGCTCGTCTGGCCGTCAGTGCTGGTCCCAGCCCGGTGACCGACCTTAGCGAATTCGAGGATTTTGACGCCAAGCTCTAAAGTTCATGATTGTGTTGGATACAGGGGCGGAAGTGCGTCTCATCGATAGACATGATGTTGTATTGTTGGGTTTGCATAGTTGGCGTGGACTTGTTGCATGGGAGGGATGGGGCTGTGTTTGGGGTTAGGTTGTGATTTGAGTTAGATTTACTCTGATAAATGAGAATAGAATCAGCAAAGAATAAATTACATATGATGATTCCAAGATATTAATATGATGGTTGCTGGCTACATTGTAGAGTGATTATGGCGCGTGTCGGGGCGGTCGAATGTTTTCGCGGGAGGACCGCTCCGACGCCGAGCCCAGCTCCGCCATCATCGCCGATCCACCACCGAGAGCTCCAGCCGCTCTTGACTTCCCGACTATCCAGCATTCGAGTCCCCCAGCCTGTTTATTCGCTGCGCATTGGTTTTCATCGCGTTCAACATGTCGACTACCACCGCGACGGCGATCCAAAGCTCGCGCCCGTACGTCCTGACATCGACCTACCTCACTACCGCTTCCTTCTCCACGCAATCACCACTGACCATGTCATGAATAATAGCCCCATCATCCCCAAAGACTTCTCCGCGCAACAACCCAAAACAATCCGCCTGTACCCCCTCTCCAACTACACATTCGGAACCAAGGAAACGCAACCGGAGGAGGACCCGTCCGTTTTGGCGCGTCTAAAACGTCTCGAGGAGCACTACGACCTACATGGCATGAGACGCACCTGCGAGGGTGTCCTCGTCTGCCACGAACACAACCATCCTCATGTGCTGATGCTGCAGATTGCCAACGCGTTTTTCAAGCTGTACGTTTGTATACCCTCTAAAATCTGGAGCTTCTACTTACCCAGGTGGATACAGCCCCGGCGACTACCTCCACTTCGAAGACGACGAAGTCGAGGGCTTCAAGAAACGGCTCAACGAGCGTCTCGCCCCCGTCGGCTCTCAGTTCTCGGGCGAAGGCGTTAACGAAGACTGGGAGATCGGTGACACGTTGGCGCAATGGTGGAGGCCGAACTTCGAGACGTTCATGTACCCGTTCCTCCCGGGACATGTGACTCGGCCGAAGGAGTGCAAGAAATTGTATTTCATCCAATTGCCGAAGAAGAGTAAGCCTTCCTTCATATATCATGCACAGTCAGGCCATCAGGGAGGAATGGTATGATTAACTTGTGTTGTGCAGAGGTCCTCTCGGTCCCGAAGAACATGAAACTCCTCGCCGTCCCACTCTTCGAACTATACGACAACACGGCCCGGTATGGCCCTCAGCTCTCGGCTATCCCGCACTTGCTGTCGAGATACAACTTTGAGTTTGTCGATGAGAACGACAACGTGGTTGCCGCGACGCCGGGCACGCCCTTGCCGGATCATCAGATCCCCCGGACGAAGGTGCTGGCTGGTGATAGCGGTGATGGACAGGATGAGGGGATGGCGGACTACCCTTCTGGAGAGGGCGAGAACGGGGCTAGTGCGTAGTTTGGGGATGGTCGTGTGCGTCCTGTGCTGTCCTGTCTTGAACCGAACCAGACTGGCAGGGACTATTATTCCGAGTATTCCCCGGCGAAGGATGGCAGTGATGAGACACCTGGCTGGATTGGATCGGACCCCTGCTGATCAGCTCGGGGAATTCTCCTATTCCGTGGGATTGATTCTTTTCTTTTTCTTTTCCCTTCTATTCTATGCAAAAGACGTGATGTGTGTCTGGCTGGCGTTCCAGGAGCGAAGATTGCTTTTTCTACTATATTATTCCTTCTTCTATGTTCTTGAATTAGCTATGCAGGTAGCGGTCAATATATCCTTTAAGCAGATACCGTTATTCTTGCTATGGATATTATAATCCTAGAAGGTACATCCACCATAGACTACTTAGTCCCCGGCCACATCATGAAATATCACTGGTACATTATTCTCCGAGAACCACAGAACCACTCCATAGCACAGGCACATAATGGCACCTGCCCACACCCACACTCACAGCTCCTACTAACCCCTAGCATAGTAGTCCCCAGTACTCCATAGGTACCTAATACACTCGTCCCACACCCTCACCAAGACCAACTAACCACCAAAGCTACTAGCAATCGCAGATAGCAAGGTAGTCACCTGCCACACCGCAACTCACTAACAAACGCAGATCACAAGCCTAACTATTCGAACCAAACCTGAAGAATCCTTTCCAACCAACACACACACGGTATGGGTTGGAAGGAAGGGAAGAAAGTGGGGTTAAGCAAACTAACTAACAAACTCTGCAAGGTAGCAAACTCTACACCAACCAACCAAACTAGTTAAACTAATATTAATAATAATAATAAGAAGAAGATGATGATGATGAAGGAGTCATCGTTCTCCCGTCCCCGGCTTATAGTACGGGATGCTAAGGCTGCACCCCGCAGCACGGGAAGCCCGGACGTTGGTGGTTTGCGGGTGGGTGACTGGATTAGACTAGGGGACTCGTAAGGCAGCGGACTACTAGTTAAATTAATTAGTAGTCTGTGCTGGGCTGGGCTTATCTAGTACTGTGTGAAGTGCCGGGATGTGCCGGGTAAGTGAAGAGTTCATTAATGAATCGTTGAGTGATTTGCGGGGGTGGTAGGTGTAGCGTTAGGTAATGGAACCACTCCTTATAATTGTATTACTCTACTAACTGTAAATGTGTGTGTTTTATGGGGACAGGAGAAGTTAAGGTAGTATTGGGGGCGGGAAAAGGGGATGGTTGTCTAATTCAGTTTGTTTCAATAGTTAGTTGAGGTATTTTCTTGTCAAAGTTACTTGTTCAAACTATGGGCACGTTTACGTGTTTAGTTTTCATAGTTTGTGTGTATGTGTGTGTGCGTGCTTCCCCATCTATCGCATGTATCGCGGTCTGAATGTGTATAAGCGCTGCAAGTGATCGGCAAAGTGACAAGAAGTCTCCTACGACCCACTAGTTATTTGCATGTCACGAACCACAACACCGCCAGTCACAGCGACAGCATGTGAAGAAGTCTCAGATTTCGTAACACTCTCCCGTCTACTGCTCTCCTACTTGACAGACTGACTTACCTCGGCCTGTGCACATGCCATGTCCCTATCCCAATCTACTGGTCCATGTGCAGACCACGCCTCCACGTTTCTCCGCCAGTAGATCCTTCAACACCGCTCATCCTCAGACAACATCTACTTTATTTGACTTTTCGGAGCAGACCATGCTTGTCTACGGCCAGCTATAGCATGCTATAGCAGTCCGTTAATCTCCACCGGGCTCCCGTTCCGAACGGAGATGGGGCCAAACTGCCACTCCAGTTGCGCAACGGACAGGCACCGAACCGGAACAAAGGATGCGGAAGAGGAGACATGGTGCCTGATTGCATGTGCTGGCTTCATCTGCTATCGTGAGGGTGCTATGCTGGAGAAATTTGTTGTCTGACTTACCCCGCTTCTTGCTTTTTTTTTTTTTTCCCCGATGCCCCTGATGGGGAATTGGGGCGGGTAATATGATAGAGGTATAAAAGGGGGCTCGGAGGTGCAGTTGGATAGAAGCATTGTGTGTACATTGCAGCAGTCCGTTGGTCTCACGTCTCTGGTTGCCTCGATTGTATATATACTGCAGGATGTTCTCTGGACGGTTTGGAGTGCTTTTGACGGCGCTCGCTGCGCTGAGTGCTGCGGCACCGACACCGCTTGATGTGCGGAGTAGGTATGCCTGATTTGAAGTGGCTGGATAGCACTGATGAAGGTTTTGAATAGGTGTCTCGACTTCCACGTTGGATGAGCTGCAATTGTTCGCGCAATGGTCTGCCGCAGCTTATTGCTCGAACAATATCGACTCGGACGACTCCAACGTGACATGCACGGCCGACGCCTGTCCATCAGTCGAGGAAGCGAGCACCAAGATGCTGCTGGAGTTTGATTTGTATGTTGCTCCAGTAACAAGAATAGAACACAGCTGATTGAATAGGACAAATAACTTTGGAGGCACAGCCGGTTTCCTGGCCGCGGACAACACCAACAAGCGGCTCGTGGTCGCCTTCCGAGGCAGTAGCACCATCAAGAACTGGATTGCTGATCTCGACTTCATCCTGCAAGATAACGACGACCTCTGTACTGGCTGCAAGGTTCACACTGGATTCTGGAAGGCATGGGAAGCCGCTGCAGACAATCTGACGAGCAAGATCAAGTCCGCGATGAGCACGTATTCGGGCTATACCCTCTACTTCACCGGGCACAGCTTGGGCGGCGCATTGGCTACACTGGGAGCAACGGTCTTGCGAAATGACGGTTATAGCGTTGAACTGGTGAGTGCTTCAGAGGGTGATCATTAAACAGCCGGTTCTGACAGTCAATAGTACACCTATGGATGTCCTCGAGTCGGAAACTATGCGCTGGCCGAGCACATCACCAGCCAGGGATCTGGAGCGAACTTCCGCGTTACACACTTGAACGACATCGTCCCCCGGTTGCCACCCATGGACTTTGGATTCAGCCAGCCAAGTCCAGAATACTGGATCACCAGTGGCACCGGAGCCAGTGTCACGGCGTCGGATATTGAATTCATCGAGGGAATCAATTCGACGGCGGGGAATGCAGGCGAAGCAACGGTGGACGTTTTGGCTCACTTGTGGTACTTTTTCGCAATTTCAGAGTGTCTGCTATAGCTGGACAGTCCGATGAAATAAGTGCGGAGAGAAAAGTGTAAATAGTAATTAGTATATAATCAAGCAGAGAAGCAGTGGTGGTCAGAGAAGAAAGAGTGAGATCCCATTACGTAGCAGATAAACCACGTGTGGAGGCGCTGTTCCTCCACTTGCAGTTGCGGCCATCAATCATCTTCTTCTCCTTACTTTCGTCCACCATAACTCTCATCCTGCCAGCTGTCGCATCCCCGGGTTTCAACAACAGTCGCCTCCGGGCCCTCCGTGGTTCTCCTTTATTATTCCATCCGACGGCCGACGTTTCACCCTCATCCTGCGCCGCCGCAATTCTCTCCGGATCGGTCAACTCACTCGAACCGCCGCCCGCATCGACCTCACCGACCCGACCGTCTGCGATCGCCCATCCGTGCAGCCATGTTCCCTGCCCCGTCGCTCTGATTTGACGCTCAATTGACTTCCGTGGCATACATACATCCAGCAGCATATGATCACAGCTCCCCCGCCTCGTGCCAGTCTCGCCGCCGCCGCCGTTGCCAGCCATGCTATTCTTCCGCGGCGGAGTTAACAGTCCGCGCCGGCGCAACCAAGAAAAAGCAATCTTCTGTACCATTCTTATCATCTACGCTCTATACTTCCTCTTCTTCGCTGGGAGCTCCGATCCCAAACGGTCCGAGACGTCTGCTGAGGATGCGGTGAAGGGAGGTCCGCATCGGGACTCGCGGTCGGGGAAGGCTTCCCCGTCCGCCTCGGCTTCGCGACAGCGTCAGGCCCTGGACAAGGATATGGTGGTGGCTAGTATGAAGGGAGATGATGTCTCATGGCTGTACACATACTTTCCCGAGTGGCATAAAAGCATATACGTGGCCGACGACAAGAAAGCGCCGTTGACGGTGGCTTTGAATAAGGGGAGGGAATCCATGGTGTATCTGACGTGAGTCTCCGTGTCTTGGCCTTGGCCTCTCTGGGCACACTTCTCACTACTACAGATATATAATTGATAATTACGACAACCTTCCCGACTCAGTCCTCTTCATCCATTCCCAAAGATACCAATGGCACAACGACGACCCTTACTACGATGGTGTACCCGTTCTCCGCAATTTCCAGGTCCCGTATCTCCAGAAACAAGGGTATGTGAATCTGCGCTGCGCCTGGGTCCTGGGCTGCCCGGCGGAGATTCATCCCCTTAGCGATACGCATCGCAACGATGTCCACGCAGGGGAATACTTCAAGACTGGATTCATGGAACTGTTCCCGGGGGCGGAGGTCCCTGAAGAAGTGGGGGTCTCATGTTGCGCGCAATTCGCCGTCACACGCTGGAAGATCCGCGAGCGGCCTAAGAGTGACTATGTGCGATACAGGAAATGGTTGACTGAGACGACGTTACCTGACGATCTCAGCGGACGGATAATGGAATACTCATGGCACAGTATGTCCCTAAATGTACTTCAGGGACAAAGGCAATTGACTAACAGTAACAGTGATTTTCGGCAAGGGCCCTGTGTACTGCCCGACAGCGGAAGAATGCTACTGCAAGGTATTTGGACTATGCAATTTGGATTGTCCGACAGAGGGAAATTGCGCTGGTCGCTATGTTCTCCCGCCATACTCCTCCCTTCCAAAGGGATGGCCGTATGTCGGCTGGAAGGGTCAGAAGCAGGACCCTAGCAAGGGACTTCCGGAGGCTTGATCGGATACCTACTATCTCATAGTTGAGAAGATATGTTCGAGTATAAGATGTTGTGATTCGGGGTATACACTGCTCACTGAGATCAAGAAAAGGGACTCACTACAAGCATGATGAATGCTGTAGTAGAATCAGAGCGGCAGCACATCTGGCAGAACAGGTGAGCGCCAGCGGCAGCAGCCGTTCTATTCCCACTGGGAATTTCCTTTGAAACAGCCAGATCTCAACTCCTCTACCGCTGCCACACACAGTTCGGCACACCAAAAAAGGCATATGGCATATAACATAACATACTACTGGCATCTTCATGAGCGAATGCTGTCATTGACAACTCCTGATGTATTATAACAACACTATTTCCATTCCATGTGAAGTAATAACTACCACCAAAATATACTACTCCATCTCTCAGATCTTGCATTACATCCTATTATACTCAAAAAAAATATTGATCCCTCGCTCAACCCCTTTTGCCTCAGGCATGTGATATTGCAAGGTTGCCTTATCCTCAGGCAAGTATTACTATAACGGTCTAGATCATCCATGGAATCGACTACCCGCCGATATCGAAGCCCATCAGATGCAGATGCATCCCCTAACAAGGCATAAGACCCATATAACCACACACGACGTGGATATCGAAGCTACAATGAACTTGATCGATAACTCGATATCTGCTTATCGTCAGAATCCCCTTTTCCGGGACGTTAATCTGGTTCAATGGCTGAAACAAAATGACGGAATAACTAGCTAACCATAGTGAGTTACATGTAGACTATGATTCCATAGGTAAATGCCGAGGCTTGAGGAATAATGGGGCAGGATTGTGGGAATTTATTGCTTACTATCCACAACTAGTTAGTACATGGCACGGTTTCAATATGGTTTTTCTATACATAGATGGGAAGTTGGTAGTTGCTCTGTGTTGTGCCGTTTGATCTAGTAGGCTGCATTAGGACAGATGTTGATAGGGACAGGATTATGATTGTGAGCTCGTATAGCACAAAGAATATATGCAGGGTAGTGGTTGATTCTGACCCCGGCTGATACTAGGCGTTGGATGCGAGCTGTCCTGAATGGGTAAGGCCAGGAGCAAGTAATATCTCACCGTAATCGAAAATCAGGGACATGAAACAGCAACGCAGTTAGTTTTCTTAGGCTTTTGATGACTTTTGAGCGAATTTATGTCTACAAAAACCGGAACAGAAAAGAGACCACCCCTGACAAAGGAAAAAACTTTTATTATCTCGGCTCATGAGTAACAGTATACTCAACATCCTTCTTAATAATCATCTTCGTGCTCTCCGAACTAGCCACGCTATCCCCGTCCATTCGACTACTGCCATCGTATGCAGTAGTGCTGAGCATGCCAACGTAATGCTCGGGCACAAATGTAGGTTGGGAATGTCGCGGGTTGCTCATTCCATTTCCAGCTTCTGTGTGGCTATCCATCGACTGCAAAACGTAGCTCTGGGACTGCTTCGATACATCACGAGCATATTTGCCCGACTTGGATCTAGCGCTGCTGGTGCCAAGGGTGACTTCCCCTGCGTTGCCATAGGTGACGCTGATGGCGCGCATGAACGGGGCGAGGCAGAAGGAGGTGCACACGATGAGGGCGTAATTCATGCCCATCTGGGTCCAGACGTAGCCGTCGATTATCGATTATGTCTAGTGTCGGGTTCATGGAGTAGGCATATTTTTGCAGATGGTATAGATGTAGAGATGTGAACACGAGGAGACTAATGTAAGCACCGGGTTAGGTCTATGGCGTTTGTGTAGGGCGGGACTGCTTACGGTAAACGAACAGCGAAAGAGGAAAGAACGACGAGTTTTCGAGTTGTTGGCATTTGCAGGCTTTTGACGAGAAGGATCGAGAAGAGGAAGAGCATGATCTCAATGATGCTGTCCATTACACCGATGTATTCCCATTTTTGGAACTGGTGAGGTGCGGTCAGTATAACTGCAAGGACGTGGAGCGATGGGCTTTATACCAATCCAGTACAGTGGTCAATGGGTCTTGCCCATGGTCTGTTCAATTCGCAGTTCACAAGGATGATCAGAACTGAAGACAGAACCCAACAGATGCTTAATCCCAGCACCCCGTAAAGGATGAAATGATGGATGCGTTGGGGAGTCAACCGTGAGAGCATCCCAAGCACACAGCACTTGGAGAAAAAGACGGTGATCAAGAACAAAGTATCTGTAGCAGCTGTTGTCTGCATGGATATAACCCCCGATTAACTTGTGCTCTCGTCCTGGATCCGAACAACGTACCCGCTGAACCTTCACGACCTGATCTGAAGAAAGAAGCCGGATGGATGTTCCGAATCCCTTGGCAGAGTTTGACATGACGAGTGAGGTTTGAATAATAGCGAAAGCCTATTGAAGACGCAGTGATTAGGATCGCATTTGCATTGGTATCACTGGAGATATAGGGTTAAAGCTTACCGTGGCAACAAATAATAGATAGTCATCTCGTCCAAACCCCGGACTCAGTATTGTTCTGACATACACGCGGATAAGCAAGCAAATCAATGTCATTATCAGGGCCAAAGTCCCAACAACGATCACAATGCCGGCATTATGACTCTCGTCAATGACCACAAGGGGCTTCCCAGATGCCGTCATGACCCCGAGCCACCCAGAGACGTCAGCAAGCGACCGTGAGTGGCCTATCGTCCCATGCTCTCCCGAAAATCAAGCGATCAATTAAGAACCCCTAATGCAGGGTCTCTCGAATATAAGGACCAGTAGTTAAATGAACATGCATGCAAGTTCTAGGTGCGTTCCGAAGCGAACGCAATAAGACCATATCTTCGGGCTCAAGACCATGGTGGCTAGGTCAGATAGGTCATCAAGGATCTGGCCCCAGTCTTCGAGGTTTGGTGAAATTGAGATCTATTATTGGCCGGATTGATAGCACAAAGGGCTCAGCTAGAGCGTATGGAAGGATTTTTGGTCCAGTTTCGTAAAGTGGCCGAAATGTGTTGAGAGGAACGAACGGTGCTTTGTTCATTACGGCTGATGTTCGGAACCCAAAGCCCCTGTAGCGTTGCGAGTAACTAAATCCGACCCTATACAAAGAAAAGTTAGTAACGGAGAAGGAAGCACTTGCAGGGGTGTATACTACCTTAGGGTTTAGTATGATTGCAACGCGCAATCACATCGCATCCGTCACAAACCACGGCAGACTAACTACCCTTAGCTCGACTAGACTGCCCCTACCCTGTGCTAGTGTTTAGGCCGAGTGTTCCGTCGAGGCGAGCCGGACATGGTTCTTGGTGACCAGTGCAAATGGAAAACAGTAGCCTCGCGGAGATAACAGCTCACGAATCGCTATAAGATTGCAGCCTGGCTTTTAAAACATAGTATCGACTGGTGTGATACTAGACAGGAGCGGGCATCCTTCTGGATCCACCAAGGAGCGCTCCGGGGAATGTGTCCGCAGCGGCGCTTCCGTTGATCGCCGGGGAAGTTGCCCGGATCAGTTAGGGCTCGTGAGAAGAGCGCTGGTAAGCTCCCGGTGTTCCGGTGGGCCGCGGCGGGATCGTCTGGCGAACAAGATCCGGCCGGGCCATCGCCGAGATATATGAAATATATAGTTGGCTCCAGTAGTAATAAAATCCTGCCATTTGAGTTTCGTAGCATTATCAGTGGCTGAATTAAACCATATTGTAGAGAAAAAGTTTTTCGATATTAACCCCACTGTGGGTAGAGGCCCAAGGATTAAGATCCTGGCCGTCCGCTATATATGAATCGCCAGTTAACATAGGTTCGAAATCCGTTGCGCCGGCGAAAATGGTGCAGGCACTTGGGACACTGTTGCAGCCGATAGGCTGCGGTGGAGATCGCCAATGTAGACCTGTTACTGCGCTAGGATCATCGAAATGGCAAGAGGTGGCGTGTCCATGCAGCAGAAAAAATGACTCAATTGATGAACAGCCAAATCAAATTTCGCGCTTGACCAGGGCCACGGGCGGCACATAAGTTTTCCGCCCATACAACACATAGTAGATGATGGAAAAAATCAACATGCCACCATACATGAGCGAGCTCCAGTTCATGTTTTCGGGGTCCACAGTCGAGTAAAGGGGGAACATGACGAAAACGAACTCCGGGATGAGGAAAGCCAGGGCCCCGAGGTTTACCCAAAGTCCCCATCGGCCGAGTGACCACCTGTGTGGGGGCAATGGTTCCCCGCGAATTCTTTTCCATGCGACACAGGAAACAGTGACGATGTAGGAATTCAACAATGCTCCGACAGTGAGGGTGATCAAGGCATCTAGGGCGACAGTCGAGCCGATGTTGATGAGCGATAGCAGCATAGTGAGCACGAGGGACACTAGAACAGCATTGAGGGGGATGTTCCAATTTGGGTTGACCTGCGTCCGCATCAGTACTTAGCATAGTAGAGCTGAAATCAAATAAGAGGTGGGAACCCTTACATGACCGAAAAAGGTAGCCAGTGGGACGCCCCCATCACGGGCGAATGACCAAAGTTGACGAGACGCAGTGGCGACCTCGGTAATGACACTGGCAATAAGCGACATGGTGACAATTGCAGTCATTGCGTTTGTAGCTGCGTAACTTTTTGTGGCATTGAAAAAGACCTGAATGAAAGGGTAACCAGTAGCGGAGTCGAGGACCTCATCTACATTACCCAAGGTGAAACACAAAGTAACCATAACAACAAAGGCCAGGACCCCGTTTAGGGAGCACGCTGCCATGATAGCCTTGGGAAGGGTTGTAGAAGCGTCTCGAACTTCCTCGGCTGTGTGCCGCATTAGCATTTCTAAATGATCGAGCCAGAGCTTTTACTCACACATGTGGACAGTACAGTCGTAGCCAATCATGGCAGTGATAGCAGTAATCAGACCGACCATCGTTGCGGTGCCATTGCTATTCCAATCACCACCGTTCGTAAACTGGGTGAAAACCGTTTTCGCATCCTTGATGGGTGCCAGCACCCAAAGGGGTATAATCACAATGAAAAATCCGGCAACGTGGAGGATCAAGATGAAGGCTTCAACGAGAGGGAGCTTCTTGGCTAGGAAAGTGTTGAAAAGAACGGAGAAAAGGGTGATGGCAATTGTAATGAGAGTACCGTGCCACCGCTCAGAAACATAATCAGGGTAATTCAGGATAACCAGTCCTTGAATGATGGTACCTGCTAGGAAAGCAATTGACACAATCGCGCATTCCCAGCCTGTGGCACAGAGCCATCCTAGATGCGACCGGGCTTATTAGGCTCAGCCAATTATCAGCGGGAAGCAACACCTACCAGTGATATAACTCAAGAACTTCTGGTACTTCCTAGGTGCAAACTCTGATACCCAATGGTATTGGCCACCAGCAGTGGGTGCCCTATGAATCGATCAGCTGGTGTATAATTTGAGGATGAAGTGCGTGCACTTACATGGAAGCCATTTCCGCCAAACTGGCGAACAGCAGCAACACTCCAACCGAAACAACGATGAAACCCCAGATAAATCCAGCCGTGCCACCATCAACCAGAGGCGAACTCATCATACTGTCCCAACCTTAATATCGAGGGCAAACCAGGGAGAACGTATGACTTACGTTAGCACAACTTCCCATGAAGCAATGAGAGTACATCCGAAGGCAACAATTGAGATGAACCTAAAATTTCTCTGAGGAGACCATTAGAAAGATCTTTTATCAAGCTGGCAGATAGCGAACCCTGAGAACTTGTTCCTTTCCCAAAGCCTGCATATCCCTTTGGTCGGCCATAGTGCCGATATACTTCTGGGCGACATGACCTTTGGCAAGCCCTTCGTCAGCGAATACAGTGGAAATATTATTTCCACCCTTGGTGGTTGTGAGTTCAACATTATCCGGCATTTCTTCGGTGTCCTCTGTCTCTCCTCTAGGTTTTGAATCTTGCAAAGAACAGGCACGAATTTCAAGGCGAGGGACGAGTAGCTATATTTCAATCCAATCCCTCAGGGCCCTGCATCGTGCATCTGGATTAGCCAACCCACCATTTCCTGACGAGTTCCCAGAAGGGAAACTCTGCCCTTCACCTCAGTCATCGACAGGGGGTAGCGGCGGCCTAGAAGCCACCGATGTGGATGAGAAGCCTCAGTAGCCAAATACAGCTGGCTCTAATTCGACTTGCGCTGGCCGCGATAAGAGGAGCTTCATCGAATCCTGGGTGTTCCTCTATCAGGCTCGACCCACCTGGCGTTTTCAAGCTAAAGCGTTGGCGTGGGCTAAGTGGACTAGTGTTAATCTAACGCCCTCGGGGGAGAACCGCGCCATACCATCCCGCGTCGGTTGTAGTAGTACTTCGTCCGGGTATAGACTTTTCTCCGATTGTTTCAGCCTTAGTAAGGCTTTCGCGTAAGAAGCCATGTCTCGGTGAAGTTGGGGATGTCGTTTTGAAAAGCTATGAGGACTGCTCCTTACTACGACAGTATATCTTCAGTTGGCCGTTGCTCTCACTGACGCCCGCCGCTCGATAGATTAACAAGGGATCTCTAGTATAGTGTACCATAGACACTTAAGTCTTCCTTTCTTTCAGCAACAGTAAAACTTGGTGTTTGCGGATAGAGGATACCTAAGCAATGACAGTTCCTGAGCGGCACGATCTAGGCATTACTGTTCAGTTCGAAGGCCCCTAGAACCTGTAGTGGCAGCTATCGGGCCACTCAGTGGTATGTCTAGTAGTCGAGGAAGCAAACCCAATGGACAAATAGAATCAAACGACTGTACATTCTCCCACGTGACCGTCAACAAGCATCTCACCTGCCATGAATTACTAATCCCAACGACGTCATCGCTGTATTCCCCGCATCATCAACACTTCTATACAGCTTCCAGAAGATCCATCTGCCTTGAACGTAGCCTTATTCAAAGAGTTCGTGCTACTGGAGAAAATAAAATGGCGAAAACATATCCCATTGGTACACGCAAAGAATGCGAACGTCTAGTCAAGGACTGGGGCTTCAAGCATGTCTTTACTTGGGCGGACGGAAGGTGAGTAACAGGAAACCATGGTTGTCGTGCTATGTACCTCTTAGTATCCTGATTCATGTTACAATTTTCAGCTTAGAAATTATTGTAAATAAGTTCTTGTTGATGCTAATACTGTCCTAGCAATGCCCACTATCCACCACACTCCCATGGCGGTGTCACCACCCATCTAATACGGCAGGGGACTCTGACAATCACCTACCCAGATGACAATGCTAAGTTGCATAATGGGGAGGTGAAAAAGGAGACGTTTGGGGTCGGTGCGAGACTGGATGTTCCAGCTGGCAAGTTACACGAGGTGTGGATTGGTGAGGATGGGTGCGAATATGTTATTGGTGAATAGGTATGAGCGGATGTGGGCTACGGCTTGTCCCTTACGGATCATGATCACTTGAGCGATGTGTTGTATTATGAGTTTGCTCTATTGTCTAATCTATAGACATTAACTGGTATCTCGTACGGCGTCCACCGAATTTTCCATATGTCCAATTCTTGTCATCTATGTTTTGGTTTCGAAATATATCAATCATTATTCGTGCTCATCTAGTGAGTAAATCGGAAATCAAGTCTGCAAGGCAATCAATTAGACATGTTACCAGTCAATCTTGCAGAAGGAAAACTCACCGCTTGTTTCCAAGGTCCTTATTAGCTGCCAGATATTCCTCCCTCTCTTCGCTGGACATGGCATTCCAACGAGCAGCGTTGTACCTAACAGCCACATTAGCATTGTAGTCATGGTATCGGAGAATTCGGTGAGCCATACTTGTTGCGCCAGATGTAATAAAACTTGGCTCCAATGAACAAAGCCATGCTGAACACGGACAAAGCGATCAGGACCTTATTACCCACCCGATAGTAAGGCTTGTCTTTTTCTTGGTAGATCTGCAAGGGGTGGTCAGAGATGAGTAATAATGCAAAGTTAGTGTTTTACTCACCTGACTGGCAATGATACTAGATGCTTGGACCATCATGTTGTATACTGCACTTGCAACAGTTCGTGTTCGGACCGATCCCGCGTTCCTAGACGTCATGGCCACAATGATCGCGTGGACGTAAGGCGCTCCAATCAATAGAGCGTTGATAATCCACCGCGCCCATCCACTGGCTCCATCAGGCAGAACTTCGAGCGCGATGAGCAAGACTAAGCACCAGAATTCGCTGACAACACCGAGAAGTAGCCGCTGGTTGAAGCGTTCTGAGATCCATGTCCAGAAAAGTAGGTTGATGATGAAGATGACATATGCGGGGATGGTCAGGAGGTTGGTTTCGAAGGTGCCGAACCCAAGCGACTTCAACTCCAGGGTAATGTAGTTGGTAGCAGGTGTGTTGGGAATCATCCATGTCAGGCCAAGCAGATAGATGGGCCACATGTCGTAGTCGCACAGAGCATGCCAAAGCATCTTCGGCGTTACCGCCTGACGGTTGTGCATGCTTCCCTTGCTGGGATCGTCACGGAGCACCCGGTTGACTAGGATCTTCTCCTCGCGCTCGTTGAACCAACCGTCTTTGCCGCGGAAGCCGCCTTTGGTCTGTGTGGGAGATGCAGGCATCCAGAATGCGGCGATGATTCCAATGATTCCCGTGATGAGGCCCTCAAAAGCGAACAGATAGCGCCAACCTCCAGTATAACCGTTGGAACCGTGAATGTGGAGAAAACCGAAAGCCAGAAAAGCGCCAACGATAGATGTGGCTTCGTATGAAACCCAGAAGTAACTCAACCGTTGCGGCAATTCTTTAGATTTGTAGAAGAAGGACAGGAAAAGGATAGTGTCGGCAATGCTAGTCGTTGTTAGGATTGTTCCCCTAGTAGGAAGGTGTAGGAAGACTTACAATCCTCCCTCTAGGCAGCCGAGAAGCGCTCTGCAGGCGAAATACCCGGCCCTGTTCTTGAGAAATGCCTGGAATGCTGCGACGAAACTCCAGGCGACCATTTGAATGGGAATCCAGCGATCTGGGCCGACCTTCTTAGACAGTAACTGCGAAGGAAGCTCAGAAAAGAGGAAAGTGAGGTAGAAAATTGTCTGTCCGGTATTGTAATCGTTCGTGGTCATTCCGAGGTCCCCAAGCATGCTGTCCGAGTTTGCTTGAACAATATTGCCTCTGTCAAGCTGAAGTGCGAAAAACGTAACACATGCGAAGGTACAAACACGGATGTCAATCTATTGCGCTTAGCTATTTTTCAACAGAAAGGCTTGGATGAATAGTAATCACCTTCCTAATCAGTTGTTTTTCTTCTTCTTCCGTCCATTCAAAATATGGATCCCAGCGATGCGCGCTCTCATATTCGGGAATAGGCTTGTAAAACCTAGGGTCTTCCGTCGTATCAAATGCGCAGTCAGTCACCTTTGCGACTCTGTGTTCCGAGTCCGTAAGTGAGGATGATGATGCCGATGATGTCGAGACATCAGGGTTCTTCTTGGTGTCCTCGTTCGCGGAGACCGTGTCCGCGGGGACTTCCTTGACGCCGTCTGTGGTCATCTCGCCTGTATAGCAAGGTGGTGAGAGGCAAAATAACAGAGACGGACCGGCTTCGGGTGGTTGAGCTCAAGAATCAACAAGCGACTCAGGGGACATCGGGCCTTTTTGACGTGTCCAGCACTGGTAGACGACTGTCGAGACTCATCACGCAATTTTCTGTTAAAGTGTCAGCACGATGGACTAGTTGTTAGCACGAGAGCTGTGGGTAGCTATACGTAGCCAATTGTCGTATGAGTGGGTAAAGTTCAGGCAACCTAGAACGTTGAGCGCATCGATGTGCGACAAGAAATGGTTGGCGGCATGGGGGCCAACGTCAACTACGGCCGAGAAACTGCTTAAGGGCTGATATGCCTGATTCAATGGCCGCATAATCTGATATGGCTTTACTTTCCGAGGTGCTTGTTAGTGCTAGAGACTTGACCGATCTTGAGCAAAAGTCCCGGCAGGGGATGTAATCACGCAAGGGGAGCATAACTGACGTTATGAGGAACAAGTAAGGTTAACGAACAAGTGCCGGGACAGAGATTAGCGGCTGCTCCAGATCTCCGCAGCTGATGCAAAGGGTCCAATAATAGCTGGCAGATTGTATCAGGTTCGCAAGAAATGCGATGTCACCATCGCATTGGCTTATGATGATATGCTTGGGGCTTGACATCGCAACATTATCTTTTCTGCTGATTGGCAAGGATACACGGCTTATGGTGGGGGAATCTGATACGAATAGTGTTTTCATCAAGTTTTTGAAGATCAGGATGAGCATTTTGGAGGTGGTAGATGCGGACATTTGACGCGATTCATCGCGACGAGGTAACAGTACCAGTACCACCTCACAATCTACTACACAGCAGAGTCAGTAAAGAGTATTACACAAATAATTCCGACCCAGCTCAAAACACATTAAGGATTTGTGGGATAAAGCCTTAGGCGGGGTATGAGTGTGGATTGTAAGTCGCCTTGCCGGCAAGCTTAATTGGGGCGAGTTGCGCGAAGCAACAGCACTATCACGCCATGCTTGGCCCGCTTGGTTAGCAGCAACCATTTTCTCTCCCCTCTTTCCCATGCACTACATTGACTGCATTAAATGCAGCAACGACCTCGACGCGAAGAGTGCCAGAGCCTATGTTGGAGTTAAGTGGACTTTAATGATTTATATCCGCAGATTATCCAAAAATAGTCAAGGGCATCTTTCCAGCCATTCACAAACTGTGCTGGGCTGCAGCCATGGCTCGGTTCGAAGTGAAACGATAATTGATAACCATAGCACTGACGTCTTAACTTTCTTGTATTATCATTGCACCATTGACATATCGGATCGGCGAGTCATGCTGGCTTACACTACTTTCCCGTGGCTCGCGTAACTACTTGTCCGAGTTCCAAGCATATCCGACTGCAGGCACCTCCTTGATACCTGACACCCGGAAAATGGCGTCAATCCATACCCCGCAGGAATTGCGTGACAAAAGACGGATATTCGGCATGGTGAGCAGAGTATATATGGGTGCAGGGTTCTGTGCAGGATGCATTCTGGAAATCACCACAAGAACAGCACAGCTGTCATAGTTGCACCTGCAGACATCTAACAATATGGCCCCATCTCTGGTTGAGGACACTCCTCTGTCGCTCCGGGCGGCACCTAAGTCCACGCTTAAGACCGATGCTGGTTTTAACAAGGAGAACGTGATTGGCTATGGGGAGGCCTACAAGCATGAGAACGAGCTCAAGGGCACTGAGAAGCAGCCGCCAGCTTCGTTTCCCAACTATCTTCCTGTCTGGGACAATGAAACAGAAAGGTAGCTTACACTACTCATATATTTATCTGGCTTCACTACTGACAGCTTAGATACCCTCCCCTCCAGCCCTTCGAACACTATGACCACGGAAAGGATGCCGATCCGACCTTCCCTGACCTCCTACCCAAGGACAAAGTCGAAGTAGATGACATTACACCTACCATTGGCACCGAGGTCCGCGGTGTCCAGCTGAGCCAGCTGAGCAAGGAAGGAAAAGACCAGCTGGCTTTGTACGTAGCTCAGCGGAAGGTTGTCGGTACGATCCCCCATCTGTAAGACGAGATGACCTTTCCATTAACAAACCCTACCAGCATTCCGCGACCAAGACTTCGCACATCTGCCTATCGAGAAAGCCCTAGAATTCGGCGGCTACTTCGGCAGACACCACATCCACCAGACCTCTGGAGCACCCAAGGGCTTCCCGGAGATCCACCTCGTGCACCGAGGTGCCGATGACAGGAGTGGAGCTGAATTCCTGTCCCAACGCACCAACACCATCACCTGGCACTCGGACGTGACCTTCGAAAAGCAGCCCCCTGGCACGACCTTCCTGTATATTCTGGACGGGCCATCAAGCGGTGGTGACACACTCTTCGCCGACATGGCACAGGCATACAGACGTCTATCGCCTGAGTTCCGTAAGAGACTGCACGGGCTGAAGGCAGTTCACTCTGGCATTGAGCAGGTCAACAACAGTCTGAACAAGGGGGGTATTGCTCGACGGGATCCAATTACTTCTGAGCATCCGATTGTTAGGACTCACCCAGTAAGTACCATACACTATACATCCTTCTTAGCTCGAAGCTAATAACATCATCTAGGTAACCGGAGAGAAAGCCCTCTTCGTGAACCCCCAATGTATGTATCACCATCACGTCACCCTTATACTCTACATGGATACTAACAAAAACAGTCACTCGCTACATCGTCGGCTACAAGAAAGAAGAGTCTGACTACCTTCTCAAGTTCCTCTACGACCACATTGCTCTCTCCCAGGATCTCCAAACTCGGGTCAGATGGCGTCCTGGAACTGTTGTCGTTTGGGACGTAAGTCTAGTCTCCCTATATACTCGACCAAGGATAGAAACCTAACGAATGCAGAACCGCGTTGTTACCCATTCTGCCCTCTTCGACTGGGAAGATGGTCAGAGACGCCACCATGCGAGAATCACCCCGCAGGCGGAAGCGCCGTATGAGACGCCGTACGAGGGTTAGCTGCATACGCTGACAATCTACGCTAACGAAGTGCACGATGGCAGCGGGACTGGCCTAGATATGATTTAAACTACAGAGCATGAATATACTAGGAGATTATTTTCAACTGGTGTGCAGTTGTTGTCCAGGACTTTCCCAATAGTAATAGTCTCCTCGATTAAACACATAGCAACACCACACTCATCGCCCCTCCCCTGTCACCGATCTCACCACTCAGCATAACAATCTTATCGCGAAGCGACTCATAATAACCACCTACTACCCAGAGAAAGCAGCAGACTTAGTAGACGCAGAATCAGCATCCCCAGGCGGATGAATCCTAATAGCCGGTGCCATACAAGTCCTAGTTCCCGTTCCCTCACCCGCACCCATCACATCGTCCATATGAAACGCCTCTGACTCGCGATGCGTTTCAGGATCGAGAATCCTTTCGGGATGATTGTCTGCAGTAGACAGGTTATTTTTGTTGTGAGTAGTAGCGGAAGTAGTAGTTGTAGGATTAGTTGATTGAGATGGATGAGGGACATGTTCGAGGTGTTCCCATGTGACGGTGTTGTTTTCGTCGGCGCTGGTGGAGAATGAGCGGGGAGGGTGGTGTGATGGGCATGAAGATGATGCTGGTGATGTTGGTGGCATTGTTGATGACGGTGGTGGATGAACCAGTAACTAGTGGGTTTGATAGGGGGCAAGTTGTAGTAGTGGTAGAGAGAGAGTGGTTCGATAGCGGTAGGTTTAGAGTGAGAGGGAGAGGGAGTGAGTATACTATGAACTCAGGATTCGGTCAGTATAACGTACATCTCCAACAACCTATAGAGTTATCTTACCTGCAACGAAGATATCACCTAGGGTAGAGTGAGTTCAATATACCTCAACTCTTCCTCCCGTAGAAAAAACCAAGGTAACTCTCTCCCTCTATCACCATTCACTACTCCCATCCGAAACAGGAAGGAACAAACACCCCCCCCCCACTACCATACCTCATCCATTCATATAGAGATACTATTATTTCCTCTCAAACCTCCACAACAACCCAACCCTCCACTCCCGAAACACCCTCGCCGAAGCCGGCAACATCGCATTCCTCGCCTCCAACACCTCCACCAATTCCCTATACGCTTGCTCCCCCGGAAGCCTCACCTCCTCAATCGCCAACGACTGGTTTCCTTTCCCCACCTCAGGATGCAAGATCTCCTCGACATTATCAACATGCTGGTAAAAGACCTTCATTGCGAGTTGTGCGGCGGTGCTGTGTGATGCGCTGGTCGTGGAGTAGCGGAGGGAGGGGTTGAAGGGCCATATCTATTCATTCCATTTTTAGTATATAGATATATATATATATATATGGGTTGTAGGAAGGGGTGGATATGGGGAGTGGAGGGGAAGCTTACGAGTAGTCCAGCTTTAGCTCCACAGTGGATGACGAATCTGCGGTAGCTTTCACGTTCAATGAGTTCGAGGAGTTGTGCGGTGAGGATGGTTTCGGGGGGGTGGGATTCCCAGGTCTCCTCTGGGGGGTCGTTGTCTTCGGAGGATGAGGTGGTGTTGGCGGACAGGCTGGTTTTGAAGAGTCGGTAGCCGTTGGCGATGGGGTCGGGGAGGCCGAGTTGGGTGGTGCAGGTTGTGCAGGTTAGGATTGTTGGTTCTGTGTCTGTGTCTGGTTGTGTTGATGTTGAGTCTTTGGGAGGGACCTATGAGGGAGGGAATTAGCCTTTGTACAAGAAAGAATTGTGTAGGTTGTATGAGAGGTATAACACGCTTGATTCTATCTACATTCAATTATCTTGTATGCTACGATCTACTAGACGATAGATGTACCTCTGCATAATCGCGTCGACTCCATCACTCTGGACCAAGACAACGGAGAAACAGCGAGGCGCAGTCTCAATCACAGCACCAGAGCATCCAAGCTACACTGACTCATGTTGAGACGACTATCGGATGAAATCCATCTGCGAGAGAGGATATCTTATCCCATAGCTACCCAAACACAAGCCACTGCACTCGTTCATGCCGGGCCATACAGACCGATCAAGACTCTATAGCTATAGGGCAATTGTATCGAAGGCCTCATCATTGACTGAAAAGGTCTCCTTCTTGTTGCCCATATCCCCACCCTCTATTACCGCCACAAAAAAGGACACAATTTTAGATATAAAATCCTTACCTTTGATTCCTCAACACCCAAACAATCCACCCCCTTCACCAAGAAACTCGTCACATCCACCAACACCGTCCCCTCCACCGCAACAAGCTGATTGCCTGCCCCATACCCCTTCACCACCGCATTGGGATCCTCCCCCTCTTTGTTCCGCTCCTCCTCCGGCGGATCCGGCTTATGACAATGCCAGAAATCCATCATCTCAGCCCAGTTCCCACTAGGAAGGTCTTTCCACACTTTACCGCCCTCCATTATGGGGTTATGGCACTTGACGCACCGCAGGCGTGTATGCGCGGACATGTCTGTCGCTGTCCAAGGAATAAACCCGTCATTTAGGGTGGTTTCGTCCTTGTGCAGGGACGTGTCATTATCGTCTACTTGCATGCGGAAGGAGTACTCGCTTTCGCCTTGTGTGGAGGGTGGCTGTTGTTGGAGGATGCGACGAGACGATTCGCTGACGCGCGCGGGGAGTTTGATTGTCTCTGAGGTTGGGGTGGGGTCATCTTGGTTGGTGTTGGATAGGGACGATGTTACAGTAACTGCGCGCCGCGAGTCGGAGAGGGTGATTTGGAGGTTAGACCGGGGGGTATTTGGGGGGACTGAGATGTAGAGGGTTAGTTGGCGGATGTTGGGGAGGAGTTCGGCGTGGAGGTGAAGGGGTGTTGCTGGGTTGGTTTGTGATTCATCTTGTAGTGATTGTGACATCGTTAGTTTGTCTCTCTATGGCTGTGTTAGTAGTTATTTGTCTGGCGAGCATGGATATTCTCAGTGTTGGTTATTTGGTTGTCTGGCTGAGGGAGGATATTTGGAGGGAAAGACAAAGAGGACCGCGGAGGTGGGGATGCAAAGGAGACAAACAAAACGCGCGCTCACGTGAGTGCTCCACTATTTCTTGCCTTAGGCAGAAATGGAACTACATCTTTAACATTCAGGGACACCGATGCGATAGTAACTGCAGAAATGATAATTTGCTGGAAAAAGGAACTAATGGCCTATCCCAGCTGAATGGCAATAGTAAAGTCAGGGATAATCACATGTTTCATTCCAGCCATGATTGAATGTAATCATTTCACGCCTTGATCCTTAGTGTATACTCACGACCCCAACGACTTATGAACATTCGGCTCCAAAGGAAACACCTGGTCCTCCTCCCTCACGTCTTTATAAACATGTTCCCAACGTGGCCTTAGCATTTCTGGGGTCTCCCAGCCATACTCTTCATCGCGCAGCCACAACCGGATCAAATGTCGCCTGCATTCACCATACATCTTAGCAAACGAACCCAACCAAGCAGTCAAGCTGGGGAACAGGAAATCAACATACTCATTCCCAGGCTCATCCACGAACCCATTCCGTGCATGAAAGATACTATGATTGTTAATATACTGGATATCACCCTTTTGAAAGTCTAGTGTAGCGCTATTCTCCTCAGCCAGGAAATGAAGCGCATCGAGAGCTTCAGCCTGGGCTTCAGTGAGGGGAGGAATGTCCGGTGAGCGAGGTTGAGCCTGGAAGCCGGTGAAGTAGCGACGGGCGTATTGCATGATGACGCGGTCCGGGGTGGATGCTGTGGCGGGCTGGTAGAAGAGGAGGGGACGGAGGGTGTAGGGGCGGGTTTTGTTGCCGAAGCTGGTGATATACATCAATGTATTGTCTCAATTGTGCGACACTAGAAGGAAAGACCTTACCCATCAAACGGCCAATCCTCCGACAGAGTATGAATCAGATCCGGACGCTCCCTTGCCAGGATATTATAGATCAGCCAACTACTAGCGATATAGCTCTCGCCGCCCTGGACCGACGGGTTGAGACAAATCAAGGAGATAATATCGCCGCCATCAGTATGGAAGACCTGTTTATCAGCCGTATTGGACGGGGCCCCTACATCCGCAGCATCTTTAGTGCGCGTCAGATCCTTGATATGCGAAATCACCAAGGACTTGCCGTTAGTGAAGTGCGGGTCCTGCTGGCGGCCACGGAGATTAGCCACGTAGGCAGAGACGCCGCAATAGATGATGATGTTCTCTTCGCGGGTGTATCTGTCTACGTTGAGGCCGCGGAGGATGAAGAAGCCTCGTCCTGTGTGGAGGTCTTTGGATAGGCTTCGTAGGTGGGTTTTGAGGTTGGGCAGAGGGAAGGTGGCTTGGTTGATGTGGCCTAGGGGGAGGTTGAGGGACTGGAAGGACTTCAAGGCGGTGTTTATCTCGTCAAGCTGAGCTTCGTTGAGATGGAAGATCCAGTCGGTTGAGTTGTTGATGTCCTTTCCGTGCCATACGAGAGATGACTTGAGTTCGGTGGGGAATCCGACTGGTAGGGTTGTGGGAAGATCTTCTGTGGCTTGACGTCGTTGGGAGCGGGATTTGTACTTCTCGTAGTCAGGAAAATATTGGATATCGGGCTGGGTGGGATGGGGCATGATGATGAGCTTGGTTGAGATTGTGCTAGTACTGGGAGAAGAGATGGGCTTTCCGTGGTATTTGACGAAGATACAGGTTGGTTCAGAAGGCTTTTTATAGATTCTTGTATATAAATCAAGCAGGGACAAGGGTTAGAAAGCATTAACGCTGGAAGAGCTTAGTGGCTGACGCGATAGGCCATTTTGATGGTGTACCTACTGGCACTCGCCAATGAAATGTCCAAAGGCCTCACTGCGCCCTACGACGACATGCTCCATACTGGGCTCTACCTGAACCAATGTGGAAGGTGACCCCGGGATATACTTTCCTACGCCAAATTGGAGGAATGAGTGACTTTCATTACACCCTAGCCCTAACTGTGGTTTTTACAACTATGAAAGTCGAAGTGCCGGTAATAAGTAACTGCCATGAAGTGAAAACAAAGCAAGGCTAATTAAAATGATCTTCCATTTCATTACTCTGCACAAAACCTATTCATTAATGCACATTTTCAAAGTACAAAAGAGCAGAGAGATATCAACCTCCAATAAGTATCAAATTTTCCTTCATTCGCCCACAAAACAACCAAATCAAACGAACCCACCCCAACCATTAAACTCCTCCCCAAACCTCACCGCCGCCTTCAGATAAAACTCATCCGCATCACCCCACGTAGCCGCACACTCCTTATACGCGCGCAGCGCCTTAACATAATGCGCATCAGTCGAATGCTCACTCTTGACCGCCCTCTTAGCAGTCCAATTCCAATCGCGTCCACCGAGCTCATACTTCCGAATACGGTCGAGGTCGATCTGCGGACGAAGCTGAGCAATGTAAACGCACAGCGTCATGAGCCACCACTGTCTGACCAGAGACAGCTGGAACTGGGGAGGGATGAGGGGCAGTAAGATGCGGACAGCGTGGCTGGTAGTCAGGATGTGGACGAAGAAGAAGTCGTATTGTTCGCTAGTGCGATCTGAGTGGGTGCCAGTCAGGATAGCGACAGCGACTTCCTGGCTCTCGCGGAACTGGGCGACGGGGTCCTGGATTTTCCAGGCGTTCCAGTGGTTGAGGAGAGCGGCTTCGCAGTCGCGGAAGATGATGTCCATGTTGTTGCCGCCGGGGGTGCCGAAGAGGCCGTTGAACTGTTTGTCGAGGCGGACTTTGTTGAGGATGTCGAAGAGGGAGGTCGACTGGTAGGATGATTCGGCCTGGGCGTAGGATGGATCATCCAGATATTTGTGGATCGCGCTGTAGCAGGTGGAAGTCATGGCTAGAGCCTCCATTGCTACTTCGCGGCTGGCGAATTCGAAGGCGTATGCCAGGTGGATTAGGGGATGGCCGACTGTGTGGGTTGGTTAGTGAGATGTTTTGATTGGGATGCTTGCTTGCTCGACGTACGATCAGCGATGAGAGAGTTGAAGATCGGCTCTTTTCCGGAGAACAGATACTCGTTGACGACTTGCTTCCAATCGTAGGACTGGCGGACGAGTTCATCCTCAAAGAAGTCCACAAAGGCGCGTTGATACCTGATTTAACATTAGTAGCTGCATATTATTATTGAAACTGTAGAATAAGCCATACTCTCTGCATCCCAGAAAATCTCTCCAATCAAAATCACTGATTTCCCCAGGAGCATCAGTCCAAGGTTCCAGATGCGTAGATTCCGCCTCATATACACGATGCAAGTCATCTGCATCAGCACCTTGCATGAAAGAGGAGCTCAGAATCTATGCATATTAGCAGCATTCAAACCAGTAAATGGGAGTCAACTTACATGCGGGGCATGATTATGAAATTTTCGATCATTGTACAATATGGCATGGTTCGCATGATTCAATTTCAGCAGATGTTTCAGCGCGCGCGCGGGCTTCTCATGGGCTGTATCAATTTCCTGGATCTTCACAGGAGGCAGCGCGAATAGCACGCGGTCCCCGAAGGGCAGCAACTTGCTGATCTGAGGTAGAAAGGAGAACATGGTTACTCTGGTCGAGACGGAGACTAGGGACTAACGACAGCTTAATCGCTAGGCACGGGCGACCCGATCTGTTGACGAGCCGTTGGAGCGGCCGGTCTTGGCGTTGAGATCGGGCGGTTTTCGAGGGCGCCGAGAGACAACTCGATGAATGACTTGACAAGTAGATGCACGCTTCAAAACCGTGAAGATCGGCAGAGTAGCAGCCTTATCGGTCTTATCAACTTCAGATCAGCTCTGATAATCGCGTGAAGAGAAGCACGAGGCGTGCACGAGGTCAACAAAGAGCAGGTGAGCCGAAGTGTGGGGAAAAGAGGAGCGGTTATCTGGAGTTGTTGGGATCGGCCCATCTCCCGCCTCTGGATATGACGCAATTCATGCTGCATTCACCGGAGATGGCTGCCACCAGTGAATCGAGTGAATGACTATTCAGGCTAAACTCTAGTATGCTCCATGACGCCGTGTTATATACAAAAAAGGTTCCAGAAATGCCTGAGCACCTGTGCTCGGGCCTTTGTTCATCAGTTTCGCCCATATGCTCCCTTATTTCTCATGAAAGTTGCTAGGCACCACAACTTCTTCTCCGCCTTCACCGGGGGCTACCTGGCCACTGATGATATCTACATCCATCCGCGGCCCGGTGAAGTTCTTACGTCCGTCCACAAACCATTGGAAAATCGACACCAGGAAAACGATGCCAAACACGGCTACACAGTAGTCTAGAGTAGACCCGTTAGCAACTTCGTAAAGTGGGTACCGGATGAAAAACAACTTACTCATGTTGCTTCCAGTTGCAGGATAGTCAGGGGGGAAGAGGAAAAGCACGGTCGTGAGAGAAACGTAGGCTAGCGAGATCTATTCAGGAAACATGTAAGTATTTTGTGAATCGGTAGTTACCAAGTCAGACGTACCAAGTTTGCAATCCAGCCCACAACGTTGGGCAGAACAAAGGACCTCTCCGGTAGCATCTTCCGGCCGCGAATGCAGTTCACTGCGATAGGGATGCCGTACGCTATATCAAGCATGACCACTGATGCAGATACAATAGCGTTGAATGCACTATTAAGGTTAGCATACCGCAAGATGTATTATTGCCCTTTTGTAGTTTACGTACCTTGACGAGCCAAGGAAAATACACCCGAAAATGATGACGAGGATGTTGGTAAGGTACAATGCATTCAGAGGAACCTCAAGCTTGGTGTGCACCTTGCTGAAGAAAGGAGAAGCGGGGAGACCGCCATCTCTTGCAAAGGCGTAGATCATACGACTGCTGGTCGTCATGATCGTGATAGCGGCAAAGAGAACACACACGAGAGGGAAGCTTAAGCATGTCAGTAAATGCAGGCCGACATCTTAGGAACAACTTACACGAGAAGGCAAATAGCACCGGCGTTGTTTTTCGTCGCATTCACGAAAATTTGCAGCAAAGGCGTGGCCGCGGAGTTGATATCTTCGTAGATGTTTCCAGCCACAAAGAGGAGAACGATCAAGAAGATTGTGCCAGTAAAGGTTCCAATACCGACGCAACCGATCATGATCTTGGGCCCTACCACCGAGGGGTTTGGAATTTCTATGCATGCTTAGTATGCGACGAGGCCGGTGGTATTTGGCAGATTTACCTTCGATCATGTGCGCGACACCGTCCTTATAGCGGTTAGTACCAGGATGCATAGTAGAGCTCGGAAGACTTACAAAGCCTGTGAGACCCAGTCCTCCTTGAAGGAGCTAGATGGTATGAGTAACAATCTTTACACAGAATTTAGGTAGTGAAACATACTCCGAGCAGCCAAGCAAGTCCATCAGGCCCTAAGAAATGTTAGCCTTGACCGATCAATAAGGGGTGTGGTCTGCCTTACATCCTGTTTCGTTGATGAATTCGCCGAAGACGAACCTATTGAATCAGCAACACGTCTAATGGAAGTCAGCTAACGGCATTACTCACTCGCCAGAGTTGTAGTTGGGCGACGAGCATGCTAGCAGGGTGATGCAGATTATAGTGAACCCGGTAAGGGACCAGATAACTAAAGACACGTCAGCTTTAGATCGATATCCCCAGACGGACAATTCTACTTACAGGCACCCTTAGTAACCTTGGGAAGGAGTGAGCCCATGAAGGCGTTGATGAGGAATGCAATAACGTTATAGGCGATGTAGATGAGGAACTGATGCCAGCGTTGCGACACATATGACTGTTGGGCTGTGAGTAAAGTGTTCGGGTCTAAAAGCCAGCAAAGGACTTACGGGATGCATCAACGAGATGACACCCAAGATCAGTTCACTTCCGAGAAGACCACCAGTTGCAGTCAAGGCAACCTGTAAGAATTAGCAGCTGCATGCACAAATAAGTCTTGTACACATACCCAACCAGTCACGTTCGCCCATCCTGTAATCCACGAGAGAAGGGGCATCCATCTTTCCCAGGAAACTTTCATCTATCGTCAGCAAGGAAGTGATATCGAACAGGTTATGGAAAACCTACTAACTGTAGAGGAAGAATAGTCAGCACCGTATCGAAATAGTCATGGAGTATGAATCAAGAATACTCACCTGCAACCCAATGGTATTGTCCACCAGCACTAACCAAATTAGTCCAAACCTCAAGAAGCACAACCAGAAACACCTACGTAGGATAGGCCGATAAGAACTCGGCAAGGGAAGCCGACATGCAAAGATTACAGACACCAGCCGTGATCAACCCTAGAGAAGACAGGAGTTAGCCGTAGGATCTCACCTACTACCGACACGATCAAAGCAAGAAACATCTCCGCCATGCAGACAAGAAGCAGGGATGAACCCAAAGCACCAATGACTTACCCCAGATGACACTAACGCAGCCACCAGACGGCAGACTGAGAGATAGACTGGCGGACAGAGCGGTCCATGACTGCGTGCAGACTTAATTAGCTACCAACTTCCTGGTGTGGCCTAGTACCAGAGACGGTCTCTTATCGACATCAAGCGGAGGCGTTGATTTGCCGACATACATTTAGAATGGCAAACGCTAAACCCAACATTGACCTGCATCAACCACAACCATCCGTCAGTAGTGGTCCACGTGAAAGGTAGATCAGCAGCAACAGCAGCATGGGAGAGGCAACATACAGCATTGAGAAATTGCGGTTCAGTTCGGCCTTGTGGCCCATGGCCGCCAACTGGGCGTCATCATCTCCCCGAAAGTCTTTCATGGTGGGACAGGGTGTATCAATTGTCAAGTATGTGCTACCAGGGAAACTAGACAGGTTCAAGGGAGAGTCCAAGAGAGAGGATTAAGGGGAGGGAGGAAAGAAGAAGAGGGAGGGAGGGAGGAGGAGGAAGGGTAATGATGAATAAAGAGAGAGAATGTAGGGAATTCCGTGGGAAAATAAGAGAGAAGGAGAGCACGTCAGCCCAGTGAGGATGAACGGCGACAGCGGAAATGGGAGGAAGGGAGGGAGGGGTGGTCACGGAACAAGGCTTCCACGCCCAAGCCCGTCATTACGATGAATGCCATCCCATCCATTATCCACCGGGATTATCGCAGCTCAATCTGGGAGGGAGCAACAATGAGCCCCGAGGTATGGGAAGCCAAGGGCAGCTCTGGCTGGTCGAGGAACAGCGAAATTGCGGGGAGGGAATCGCAGTGGCGGAGATGCTCCGTCGACTGTTACCTAATGGATATGGGGTAATATCAAACAGGTACAACGTTCACTGCAGAGAACTACCAGTCAGTTCCAGCCTTACTTGCTTCTCAACCCACCATGGGACTGAATTGATAAGAACCCCCTGGGTGCGACTCAAGTTGATTCGTGCACGGCGCCGAAGTCGAAACGCCGACCGCCAGTCAGATTCGAGATGGTGGAGGATGGGCTGCTGGAGAAGGCCGGAGTCTAACCGGGTTTGGGTGACGGAGACGAAGCTTATTTGGCCGGTGAAACATGGATGGCAAAAGACGTGCTCCGATTCCAGCAGAGATAAGCTCCCGCATCAGGTTTAGATATCTCATAGTTATTATGCCCCATGATGAGAATGTGGCAACACTGATTATTAGGGCAGCCATTGACTCACGGGAGTCAAACGATCTTTTATCAGGAACCGATAAGAAGATAAGTCCCATCCCCATATTGTCTCCTTTATACCCAAGATATTAGCTGATTATCTTCCCTTCACAGCAAAACTAATACCCATCGCTAACTGGAATACAAGGGCCCCCCTAAACCTATTCGGGTTAACGCATTCGGATCCCGACGTTATGAAGCACGCGGGCTGCATGCAGTTTCTGCCTGCATTCTGGAAAGATTAATTATTTGGATCGTAGCATGAATGGTACAATAACATCATAATCTCTTCTCACATGATATGCAGTCATAACAGCTATGATATATGTATAGTATGTACACCAGCCCTCCAGATGGCCGCATATTATGACGCATAATGCAGGTCACCTGGTGGCACTAGGAATCAATCGTCCAGATCTTCTTCCTCATCATTTAGACACCCCATCCTGCGCCAAATGGTCAGTACGGATGATGTAGTCTTCATCACCGCCGTTGGCTACTCCATCCTCATCATCCTCGCCAACATCCTCGTAGCCTCGCACCGCGCCCCGGTCGGCTGTAGGTCCGTCCAAAGACGAATCCGAGTCGCCGTTCGGCATCGCCACGAGCTTGTTCTTCGACTTGCCGCCTGTTCCTGCAGGACTCTTCCCCTTGCCCTTTCCACTAGTCGACTGGCCACTGGGAACTTGCTTGCCTTTACCCTTTCCGGAGTCGTGGGCATGCGAGTCTCCGTTGGTGGTGGGCCCGTCCATACTGAACTCCAGTTGGTCACCGGCTTTGAGTGCCTCCAGCACTTCTTCAATAGTTTGGGGCGCGGAATTGCCCGACTCCTGCTTCTGCTTATCAACCGATTCGAACGTCTGTCGGATCCGCTCGAAATGTTCCAGTTCCTTGGCACTGCACCGCTGTTAGAGCTGCAAAGCATGAAGATAAAGGGATCAGTGGCGGTAACTTACCTAACACTAGGAACCAGCTCATCCTGTGCTTCCTTGAAGTCATCCTCCGTGACCATCACCGCGACATCCTCCGGCGTTGCCAAATGGTCGAAGAAGTACGCCGTGCTGACCGGCTCTCCAGGTAGTTGCTTGATCTTTTCGTCAACAGCCGTAGCCTTGCGCGTAATGGCCTTGAGCATAGCATCCGAGCACAAGGCGTACAAATCTGCACCCGTGTAGGTCAGAGGCAGCCGGTCGGCGACTCTGCGGAGCGACAGATCCGGCGACAGTGTGAACTTCCTCGTCAGAGCCTCTAGAATAGTAGATTGCTTCTCATGGGTATCGGAGACACCAAGATAAAGCATCTTATCGAACCGACCAGGACGAAGAAGTGCTGTGTCAAGGAGGTCGGGTCGGTTGGTAGCACCAATGACAAAGACTCCACCGCTATTTTCCTCGCCTCCATTCATACCATCAAGCTCCGCGAGAAGTTGACTGACAATGCGGTCCATGACACCGCCGCTATCTCCTTGATTGCCGCGCTTAGGTGCGACCGAGTCCAGTTCGTCGAAGAACACGACACAAGGCCGGGCATCCCGAGCCCGCTGGAAAACTCGACGTACGTTCGCTTCAGACTCTCCAATGTACATGTTAAGAAGCTCCGGTCCCTTAACGGAGAAGAAGTTCAAAGAGAACTCGGTGGCGATAGCCTTGGCGAGCAATGTCTTTCCAGTACCTGGAGGTCCGTAGAATAGGATACCACTTCGCTTCTTCATGCCCTTGGCGAACAGCTCAGGTCGCTCGAGCGGTAGCTGAATGGTTTCAATCAAAGCATCCTTGACGTTGGTCAAACCACCCACATCGTCCCAGCTGACATTGGGAATCTTCGGTGCGCCGATAGAATCGGCAAAGTTCTTTCTGGCGGCATCAACTGCAGCATCGAAGTCAACCTTCGTAACTCCTCGTGCTGCGTCCCCGCCGGAGACCAGCACATCTCTGACGCTGACAGCCTGGCCAGCATTCTTGCTTGCCAGTTCTGCCAACTTCTCGAGACGCGCCGTCCGCGCGGCTGAGGCTCGCTCAACAACGTCCACCAAGTCTCCCGCAACGAGAGCAGCAGTCTTCAGCGCCACAGTGGACAGGTCAACATCCGGCGATGTTTTGATGCCACGCTCGGTGACTGCATTGCGCAGAATCCCCTCACGTTCTTTTTCCTCCGGGGCAGTCATCTCAAACTCATGCGTAAACATGCTACGAATGCCTTCGGGGATCTGTTCGACATCCGTGGTGGTCGCGATCACGACTCGCGCATCCGCCACAATATCAGCCATCGCCGAGATAATACGGTCTGCAGTCAAGACTTCAATATGCTTGATCAGAAGTGCCGTACATTCCGGTCCACAGTGGAAAGCGCGCTCTGCTCTGGCCTTCAAATATGCTTCGGTCTTCACGTCACCTCCATTCGCGCCACCTTCGGTCAAAATATCGTATGCATCGATGGGGAATGTATGAAGACCAATGTCAGCACAAGCCCGGTTTGCGATAGTTGCCTTGCCGATATGCCTCTGTTGAGACCTGATCAGAATGACAACAGGTTTCATGCCGAGCTGGATTGCACGGGGGCTGGTTGCCACTGCCATCAAGTCTCGAATGCGCTGCTGCAACGGAGGAATGAACGACTGTGGAGTTTCTGTGATAAGACCATGCGGAGTCGGAGCGTCGTTGGCGGCCCGTGGAACTGCCTTGACTCCAAGCCAGTATTCCCATCCGTTGTTGATAGTGCCTGGTACCCTGCTGACATCACTACCCGCCTGCACCATTCTGGTAGTAGCTGAGTCGATAACAGCGACACCTCCCCACTGATTCTCGGACCCATCCTGTTCACTGGACGTGCTAGGGATGACCTGCCCAACACGGAACCAGGCGACGCCCACTTTCTTGGATGCAGTGTTGTTAGTATCAGTAACCTGGCCCAGACGATTAGTCAGATCATCATCTTGAGCACCAGTGTCACCACCCGTTGTTACAGGGAAGACAGCTCGACCGAGTCCCTCGTCCACGCTGATTCCCACAAGATCACCACCCTTGAGTAGTCGTCGCTTCGATTCAGAATATTGCTTGAGTCCAGCAAACAGGGCCGGTTGGAGAACACGGTCCATAGACAGCGGAGTAGACACTTTAAGCAACGTTACTTCCTTCGCCAAAGGTGGGCTCCGCACGACACTGGATTTCACCTGGTGCAGGAGACCAGGTTTGACTCCATTGGCCCCAGCAAAGGTGATCGGGGAAATACGTAGATATTTCGGGTTCTCAAGGTTGTTCAAGAGCAGAGGCGGGACGAAGACGGAAGGAGTCAAGCGCGTTGGCGCACGCTGGGAGATGCTCGACCGTCGCTCGCCAGACTGGTTAATCGAATACCGAGGCTTAGCCGATGGGAGGCCTGGGAGTCCGTATATCTTAGCAGCACGCCAATTTCCAGAGTCCTCCTCTTGTTCGTTGAAGCTTCCGAGCTTGATAGAGGCGAACATGTTCAGCTGCGGCTCTTCGGTGGCCTCAATCCTGACCCAGTCTCCTGAGAAACAGCCAATCTTCGCAAGTGTACTAATATCCACAAAGATGAAGGATTCGGTATCATCATCTTCCCGTGGCCTGGGGTGGAGAAGGTCGCTCGATACCCTCCGAAGCAGACCTTCTGCCTTGAAAACTTTCCCACCGTTCGTTTTCCCAGGACGCATGGTCGTGGAGGTGAAGTTAGACGCCACGGAGCCAGGAGTATGTGTACCGTCTCCACGGCGACCACCTGCCCGGGGTGTGGCAGCAGTCATCGCGGACATGACACCAGATGGCGGTTGAGGTAGCTCAGGAGCAGCAAGAGAGATCATGTCGTCCAGAGAGTCGTCCGATGTGTCGCTTGCATTTCCTGACCCTTCCGTCTCTGACTCATCCGCCGTTGATGTAGCCTCAACCTCTGTGCTGCTCTCCACCGGCTTATCTTCCGCGGCGGAGTAGAACTGTTCGTTGGACGTGTCATCGGCCTCGTCTTCCGCGACTTGCTTCAAGAGACCCGAGCTCGATCGTAAGCTTCGCTGCGACCGATGGCCCTGTGGCCGTGCCTGAATCAAAACCACTTTGGTGGTCGGCATCAGCAGGCCCTGAGAAACCGGCTCGCAGTATGAGATGCGCGCAGGCGGAGACGGAGCATAGGTGATGGGATGGGGCGGTAGTGGAAGGGGTAGTACATCGCCAGTATGCACCACCTTCTCGGCTCCCAAAGCATGCCGTACAGCAGCCGTCAGCCTGTCTTCTGTCTCCGCGACCACCTTCTTCGACTGCTTCTTAGCATCGAGACCACCTTTCCCTCCCTTTGCCCAATGCCCATTAGGTCCATTCTGACTAGGTGTAAAACCTCCACCGAACTTATTCTGCACATCGTCGTGGTTGCGAAGAAGATTCCGCTCCACGGTCACGTAGATGGTGTCCAAAGGTAGAGGCGCAACATCCAACAGCTGGATCTCAATGGGACGTTGTGCTTGGAGGGTATGACGGGTGGGATCAAGCTTGCTCAAAGCATCGGTAAATGGCTGCAGAGAAGTCGCCGAGTGTGGAAAGAGGACAGTGTTATGAGGGAGCGGCGACTGGGAAGAGCGTTCTTTAGACTGCGGCCGAACGGGAATGATAGTCCAGGCTAGATCCTCAACTGCGTTGGAGCCCGGTAGGAACGGCGAGATGGCGATGTAGTGGATGTCCGTTTCCTTTCCAATTCCTTCTACAATGCCGGTGAGTTACAAGTCAGCGGTGTAGTACAACCCTCGTGCGGTCATGTTTCCCTTACCGATAGTGGAGTTGTGGAAGAGGTCGCCAGCCAGATCCTCGGACACAACCCCGACATTCCCGCGCAGCTGGGGATCGAGCGAGAGGCGGGCAGAGATGGGTGCCCGGTTGCGCATCCGTCGTCTCACTGCATTCCGTCTCCGCCGCCTGGGCTGATCTGAATTGTTGAGGTCACGGTGTTCAAGGTCCATGATCGGAGGCGCTGGTCAATTGCCGTGTGCTTGGGCGGGGAGTGATGGGTGTCTTTCCGCGACACAAGATAAGGTGAGGGGGAAACGGGGAATTGCCACACAGAGAATGAAGAAGTGGTCACATTCCTCGCCCAGTAGCGACTCAAGAGAATGGAAGGAAATGGAAGAGAAAGTCACGGAGGGGACTAGTGCAGAGGAAGAGAGAAGCGGAGAGGCGCGACACAGTCCGGGGAGAACGACGAGGCCGCAGCTGCTGCTACTGTTGCTCGGCACCGCCCGCCCTCGTTTCTGCCCTTTCCCGATGCCGAGGTTCACAAGATCGTCCATCTTTCCCCAACTTTGGGGTCTTCCTCCCTGATCCACTCTTGACACATGGTGTGCTTTCCACATTCCTGGATTTGGGTGTGGTAGCATTGAATTCCATTCTATTCTTCTACTGTCCACGCTCTCTTGGAAATAGCCAGTACGAGTAGTAATAAAGTCTAGCAGTCTGGCAAATTCGGTCTGTGATGACTGAATATATATCTCACGCCGCCTTCCGCCGTACTCCAATACTCAAGGACAGAAACGCTACTCAGTAATGCTAGTGTCAAAATACTAGTACTGTAGCCACAACTCTAACAACAGAACTGAAACCACTTTTCTTCACTGCTGCTAGTACTAGTCACGTTTATTGACTACAAACAGCTCATCGTTTTCCAAGCCAGACAGAACCCAACCCAACAGACTGCCCCAGATACTCACCTCAAATCCCCGAATCATCCTGAAACCTCCCATTCGGATTCCAATGATTCGAAGCATTCGCAAACCAAACATCCCAATTCTGACACGTTCTATCCAATTGATTCCTCGCAACGGTGGAGTCTTCAATGCCCGCCTTGAAAGCCGGCTGCTCTTCCAGGACCTGGAAAGCCAAGCCCGCAGAAGCATGCCATGCAATATGACAATGTAGGGTCCAGGAGCCTGGATTGTCGGTCTTGAATGCGATTACAATAAACCCATTCTGCGGGAGAAGGACAGCATCACGCCGGCGTGGGTTCTCCAGATTCAGGTCTAGGTCTTCGCTGCTGTTGTACTTGTCGGTGGAGTATTGTAGGACGGCGAAGTCGTGGCCGTGGAGATGGATCTTAAGGGGTTAGGAGATGCTGTGGCCTGGATCCTGAGGGACGGGAGGGGTGGAGGATATCACTCACTGGATGTGCGTTGGGAGCCAGATTGCCTCCAGTTACTGGGGGCGAAGCGACGATGTTACCCCCGATGATCAGCATGTAGTTCCATGTGGTCTGCGCGGGTTGAGCTTCAGCAGCCAAATAGATGACAGCACTACTGTTATATGGAGGATCAAGATGGTTGACAGTTGGCTCCGCGTAGTTCACCCACAGAGTATCGTTCAGGAACTGCCAAAAGTTGACAGTCGCCTCTGGATCGTCTCCCACTGCTGAGAGATTCCATTGGCCGATGGTAACGCTCAATGTCTCAATAGGCGACTGCGCCATGGTATATCGAACCATTGGGATGATGGGGGGTGGCTCATCAATGGTCCAAGGGACGACCGGCACCAAATCTAGCATATCACTGCAGGTGTTGTTGTATTGGTGTGCATTTGTTGTCGGAATCGGTGGATGTGAGCCGCCTCCGTACCAGAGGATACCCTGCCTGGCGTCTGGGAAGGTTTCGAAGTTGTGGCACCCAGTGGCAGGGTCGGTTCGGATCCAGTAGGCCATGCTCATGGAATCACTGAAGTCGGTTTTTGTTTCGAGAAGGATATGGTATCTCTGGCCTGGGCTCGGTTAGAATGTGCGGGCGGCTCTGATTGAAGTTGTAATTGGGAGGAACATACCTATCCCAACGTATATATGGTCTGTCGTGTAGGGTTGGACCGGCACCAGATCCATGCCGACCACCGTGAGGTTGTGTCCGTCAATGCTGAATATAAAGGTGGTATCGGTTGACCCATTGATAAGCCTGAGGATGTATTTTTTGCCCTGACTATCAGTCAGTTGCCGATAGACGGATTGCTATAAGCCGAACAAGATCATTATCTACCGCTTGAACCCTCTTATGGTATCGCCTTTCCGGGAAAGAGCCAGCATAGCTCCCTATTATTTGTTAATTCATAATACGCTGTGCCAAAGGAAAATAAAGTTCCCCTGACATACCATGTCCATTGAGCAGGATACTCGTCTGTTTCGGTGGGACTCGGGTCGAGTTATTCGCAAACTGTTCTTGGTAGTATAACTGGAAAGCGCTCTGGTGATTGTGATCCGTGAAGATGATTGGGTCAATGGCCTTGTCAAAGTTTGCCGATGTTGGTCCATGGATGGTCAATGGCCCCAACACGCCATCAGAGTACTGATGACTATAGTGACTATGGTACCATGTTGTACCATACTGCGTTGTATTGAATACATAGCTGAAGGTGTCTCCTGGGGCAATGGGGCACTGAGTTACTCCAGGCACACCATCCATGAGGCCATTGCTTAGCATCCGAAGTCCATGCATGTGGATTGCGGTCCCGTTTCTCCTGAGATTGTTCTTGACGGTGATATCTGGTGCCATTAGTGTGAGCTAAGACAAGGTATGCACAGTACTTACTTATCCAGTCTCCCCAGCATGCCTCTAGTTTTGTGAGCAATAGTCTGACAAGTTATTGATAAGGCGGCACTCACGGATCCATGGCCCAGGATAGCTATTATTAAAGACCTTGGCATAGGGGAATTCAATGCCGTCCAGATTCAACGATCTTTCACCCACCGTGAGGATGTACTAGGCCTGGTTAATCTTGGCAATACCCTTCAGATCTGCAAGGCCAACATACCTTGCGCTCAATACCAACAGGCCATCTCGTTTCATAGTCCGTGTTTATGTCAAAGTCCAGGGACAGATTGGTCCGATGTTTAAGCCAGACGCTTCGATTCTCCGGTGTAGGATTGTAGGTATACTCAGCTGCCATGGAAGGATACTGACACCTAAAAGTCTCGCCTAGGGTCTCTTCCGCAGCACCAGGGGGTATGAAAGAAAGGTCTTTGGGAGCAGGAGGTGTGAGGTCTGCGTCATCAAACCGCAGTGGGTATTGCAGTGAGGGTTGTTGAGATCCATGAAAGGATGAAAATCCGAAGTAAGTGATAATAGCGATAAGGTAGGTTGGTAGAGTCATTCTGAACAGCAGTCTATCTTAAGGACTTCAAGGCATACCACTTTCGATGTGAACTTGCTCACCACAGAAGGAGTGTGTCTGTTATATGAGAAAAGCAAACAGTGTAATATGTCCTTGTCCAGGCTGGGCTGTTATCATGCTGCCTCGATGATCCTTGACAACGAGGCAGACCGTTAACGAGAAACTTTGCTTGTTCATACGGGCTCGGGCCACTAAGCTAGGAGATTATTTGGATGCTCGAAGAGACGTTCCCTGGAACATTGCTGTGGCTTGCGTCTGACAGAACAAGCAAGGCCGGATATGGCAGTATACTATCCAATGGATCTTATGGCATCATGTGTCGGTGCTGCCAGATTTGTTATGTGCCGAACTGCTGGTTAGCACTGAACCTCTGATCCTAGTTCTTCAGCTCGACACGTATGGATCCTAATCCCTGAGAAGGTTCGAGATATGCCAGTATAAGATCAATGGTGTGCTTCTGTTCAAGAATAAGACACAGGCATGCTAAGGAACGTAGAATACGAAAGTCTCAGGCAGCCTTAGCAGACCCTCTCGTGCTCACTATGATCAGACACGGCACGCATACGCTAGAGAAACTGGCTTAAAATTGAAAGTACCCATATATCAAGTCATTGAACCCAAAGTAATGTCCAAGACATGCCTACGAGCTAACAGCGATAAGTGAGTTACTTCTGGATGAATGACTCCAGTCATGACGGCCAAGCAATGTACATCAGAAGTTGATGGCGTTCGTATCGGGGACTGCTGAATCAAGTCAGCGTGACCAGCCTCCGAATAAAGCAAATACAAATACACTTCTTATGCCCTGACTGTCATCATAAATGATTGGGATGGTTTAGTAGCTGTCTCGTCGGCTTCTCACTTCGTAGCAAGCGGCAAGCGAGCAGCCTCGTTGATAAATCAACGAACTTTATGATCATCTGCCGCTGAACTTCGCAAGCTCAAAACGTCCCTAGCCAATGAATGCTTTTAATGGCATTGAATGCCACTGCCTAGACGGGTTACTGGCCAATCCATTAGGTTAGACGATCTAAGATAGATACGAAGTGCATATTATGTATCCCGGTCCTCCAATATCACCATGCATGACCTGGATATTAATATCCGCCTCGACAAGCACTTGTATATTGGATAGGCTGTCATGGCTTTTTTAGCGAAATACGGGAGTTTGTTGAACCCTCTGATGGCATAACAGTCTTCCTAATAGCATAAGATCAAGATGACCTATGCAGCGCATGACATGAGGTTTATCGTCCCCAGCTGTATCCCTAACACACTGCTCATGCAAGCATAATGCAAGCATAACAAAGATTGGGCTTTCAGTTTACTCCCATATGGCCAGATATGTACTATGTTGTTGTGCACTACTCAAGTACTCTCATTAGGAGACCTGTGATTTAGCATATGATAAATCATGTCCGTCCGGCGGATCCTATAGTCACCAGAAATATGCGACAAAGAAGGTTAGCCGATGTTTCACAATTCCACCCAGTCGGAGTTTATCAACAATTCCTGAACTTTCAATCGATCGTTAGGCGGATGTTTGCGTATGTGGGTTGCAAAGAGACCCCTCGCCCTCTGACATATGAAGCGACCTCTTTGTTACTATAGTTATTGCGCGGTCTCCAAAAGTAAAATCTGAAAGGCCAGTGGACAGCTGAAACCCGTGTTTCGAGATAGGATGACCCTGGAAACCAGGAGCCGCACGACTGGTAGCCGGGTCATTCTTGTGCGATCCGTGCGACCATATCCACAATCGACCCATTGCTCCGGGTGTGCCCTTGAAACTGAAGGAAGAATGCATGTATTGTTGATGGCTCATTTGCCCGATACGCGTCGATTGATACGAAGAACCAGCCACCCCTAGGACTGACCGACATTTACTGTGTAACCGACATACGGAACTGACCAGCACCACGCAGGTTATTGGTTGCCCCTAGATTTCGAAGCAAGACTCGCTTAGGCTCGGTCAGAAGTGGTACAGCTATGCGGCTACATTCCAAGATCGACTTGGAGGATACTCGCCCTGTCTTCGAAGCACACAGCAGCGTTAGAGCCTCATATTCGAGACAGCATATGCGACCGGATTGAGCCTCGCGATACCGGCTGTACATTTTACATGCTGTCCCATTGAGGTCCATGAGGAATGTCCGTCGCCACAGTTCTGGTTGGAATTGTCTTTCTAGATCGCAACTGGTGGGAATGTCGACGACAGCATCGAAGAAGCAAAAAGAGCATCCTCCCTCCGTCCAGGCCGGGCCATCGTGTGATTACCTACTGTAGACCACTGCGTTATCAGCCACCTATTCATAGGTTACATCTTCGGATCCAGAACGGACCGCTTTAACCTCCTTTTCTCTCCCCAGCACTAGGTCTTGCAGTAGCTGGCTTGGCTAACACAGATGTCGCTCCTTTGTGATCAGAAAAACCTCATAGAAACGAACCCGTGCTAGTTACTGCCCTATTCAATGCCGATCTGAATTAATTAGCTCTTTTCGATTAGTAAACGAACATCAGTCAATACCCAAATCATGCCAATAGAAAATATATGAAAAATAAGCGACGATCATTTACCCTTCCCTTTGCAGCAAGTGTGCTGTCAAAGTTTTCGCAAGCCTTTTTCAGGGAAGCTCCTAGGATAGTAGCGCAGAGTCAAATTTCCCTAGTGTCCGACTTAGCCCCGAGACAACCCCCTGATAGCTCGAGCTTCCACGAGAGAGGGGGGAATTCACCCACGGCCATCAGATGCAAGTTCCTGGGGTTTGTGTAGGTCTGAGTGGGCTTTTACTGTATGGTGCATACGTCTCAGGAGGGGTCAGCGGGTATGCTTGGAAACCATAGCGGGTAGGAAAGTACCGTTGCTTCTTTTGTAGGAAGCTGACCAAGAATGATACGGCGTAATCATGTATGCTCTCCTTGAAGTTCGTAGATCGTATCGAACCAAGACAAACTATGAGGACCCTAGGTTTGTGAGAGGATATCTAGAGTGAATTTGGACTAGTATCTCGATGGTAAAGTGGGTATATTGAAAAAGCTTCACATTACCATGGCATTCGCCGACGATAAAGTCGCATAATGACAATAATTACGGAATTAGACATGGTGCCTTTTCCGGTAAACAGGCGAACAAATGTGAAAGTATCGGCGTTCCAACACGTTTAATTTCCGCCTGAATCCAAATCCTAAGGATTTCAAAACATGATATGTTCCATTTCTCCCATTCAGCCCCTTCTGCATTCATTCTGGCCCTATTCACAGGATTACGAACCCCTGATTATTTTCATTGGGGGTAAACATTCAGGAACAACCAACCCCTTGGGTGTACGTAGGTAGTCTTAGATAAGAAAGCGCGTCATACAGAGATGAATGGACCTGCTTAGTGAGGGGAGTGGCCCAGGGAGTGATAGGCAAAGATATTTCTGGTACCTGTTGATTACCACGAGACAAGACACGTCTCACCAGTGAGCAGATGGCTGAAGATGCAACCATTCAGGTCAAAGAAGGATCTTCCTGCACCCTAACGCGAGATATTTGACACGGACTGCAATGAGCCAAAGTGGTGAAAAGATCACCAGATAAACCACCAGACAGGCCAATTGATGAGCAGACTAAAAAAAGCTCCGACTACAGTCAGGACAGTCTGCTATGTATAGTACCTGCAATTAGTGAGTGTTCGATGGAGGTCAACTCTCAACGGCCGACAGGGGGATCCCGTCCATGTCCCATCAGAATTGTGCTGCCTTCGATAGCGGCAAGAGCACGAGATAATATATAGAAACGGCTGGATAGAAGCCCATTCCGCAATAAGTTTAGTGTTGCAGCGTTCGATACACTCTTGGCCATAAGAGGGAAATAGCAGAGAACATGACAGGTTTCGGGGCCTCATACCTTGGTCTTGATTGTGGCGCAGCAGACATCAAGAAGCCGTGACATGAACCACTTCAGTTAGACTACACAGTTAGACCAAAACAGCTTTCAGGTCGCTGGGCTCCTGAAGCAACCCCACTTTTGTTCTAATGGTCCTTCCTTCTAATGGTCTGTCCTCCCTAGTTAGATAATGTCTCACTTCGGATTACCGAGATTTGAGCTAGCCTCGTATTGGAGGACGTCTCGGTCGGGGAATGAAAAAACATGAGGGGGAAAAAAAAAAAAAAAAAAAAAAAAAAAAAAAAAAAAAAAAAAAAAAAAAAAAAAAAAAAAAAAAAGAAAAAAGAAAAAAGAAAAAAGAAAAGAGGAGGCCTGTCACACAAGTAATCCAGCCAGCGACAGACCATGTAGGGTGAGAGAAGAGATTGACTCCCGCGCGTCAGCGGAACAGATAGGAAAGCCACTCTGAATATTATCATTGGCTGTTGCCCTGCTGCAAGCGGTCGGAGACCTTCCAATCAGTGAAATGTTGTTGGTAGTTAAGGGGGATGCCATGCACCTCATCGTCATAACGATGAGGCTCATTAACTCCAATGTACTCCATAGTCAATAGGGAAAACACAAGGATCCACGAATGCTGAGGCTTGCGAGAATTTTGGTGCATCAGATTCGACTCAGGCTACGTGGGTGGCTACGAGGCGATTGGGGATTGGCTCAGAAAAGATCAGCCTGTCATAAGAGGCAGATCCAATGGCATCAGCGTTCGGTCCTCCAGGGCAAAGGTCAGTGCAAAGCTCGGCCATGTTGGTGTTGTCTCTTTCTTGGCCTCTAGATGGTCGGTTTCTCAAGTAGGTAGGTAATTCGTAGTCGTTGAGTACTTATTCCCTGAGGCGGGCAGTGGTTCTAGCAAGTATCATATGATGGCAGTAAGCGGAGACTGGAGATTCTGATTGGTTCTCAGCGGAGTAGTATGTTGGCGGATGAAAGTTTGCGCGATTACTAGTAGTCGTAAAGAAAGTGCTCCTGCTGAGGTACATCTGTTGCAGGTGTGATAAATTGACTTGTTTTTTTGTGCGGAAGCAAGGTCGAGTCGTGTTCCAAAATCCGAACAGACATCACCCATCCTCCAGAGTACCAACCATGCGACTTCAAGACCCCAAACGAAAAGGACAGCAAGGTCAAAGAACAAAGTTTAAATTGCCCAAAGTTCCTCCGAGGTTCTGGAGCGAAGTATGGATGCTGTTAGTTCCGTCGACCCCGTTGGTCTCTATTTTCGGCAGTCCCGGTATGAGCCCCCACTCCCAGAGAGGGTACGCTGTGCTCTGACTGGTCAGCCCTGGTGAGAGCGGGGCCCGGATGAAGCGGAGAACGGGAGATAACGGCCCCGACCACGGATGTATTACCATCCGTCGGTAACTTACACACCAAGCTCAGGCGCAAAGAGTGTAAAGAGATTACCGTCTTGGCAGCCGACAGAGAACTGTCCCCGATGGGGCAATGCGAAATGGTCCATCCAATGGGAGGCTGTATTACGTCCAGACTATCCCTAGAGTAGGCTAGCGCAACTCGTCTATCAGGCAGACATCGAAGACGACTCAGCCCGGATGAACAGCCTCAGTCTCCCTTACCTTCCAAGTGCCATGATCCATACTTGACCCCATCCTTTTCCTTCCACGTTCTATTATCTCCGCTATCCGTATTCATTATTCATTCATCTCCCCCCAACCCTCCCGTATAGCGTCCATTTTAGGCCATTCATAAGCCCAGATCCATTCTCGTTGCTTGGTTCCATCGTAAGGGGTTGTTGATTGCTTTCACCATAAGCCGCCCGGGGCCTCCCGTCAACCCCTTCTCCCTTCACCGTGAGCGTTCGATCCTCGAGATACCACCGTTGGTCAGAACGAAGCCCCTTGAGCCCCGGTCCTAGTGAGTTTCTCCGACTTTCAACCCCAGCTCCCATCATATACCCCCTTTCCATGCTCCTGGAGGGTGCAGAAAGCAACTGACCTTTTGTCTTTTCGAATCAGCCCATTGCTAGCACCGTACGTCATTAGAGCCGCATCGACAGTGTACATTCATCGACCTCCCCAGCTTCTGTCCGCAAACATACCGGACAAGTGAGTCACCGCGGCAATAGGGGTGCGCCATACTCAGTAACGTGCCTTGGGACCACTACTCCGCTACTCGCCCACCATGAATACCATTCGCAATCCAGACGCCATGAAGTCTCAAAACCCCCGCCGGGGACGCCACGTCGCACGACCTCCATCACTCGCCTCCACGGCCGACGTTCATGCATCACGATCGCGCTATCAGTTGAAGAAGCATCAAACATTTCACTCGAAAAGCCCCTCTTCGTCCGATGATGAGGATCCCCTAGCGGACCTAGCCTGTTCACCTCGTCGCTCCTCGACCTCTCCTGCCGCTCTTCAGGCCATTCTCGCCGGTCAGCAGCGTATGAACAAGCTCTTGAGCCGCTTCGACCTGGATTCAAATGACTCGGCGCCTCGAAAAGAGCATGACGGCCTGCCAGTTCCCAGGGGCTATCTAGAGATCCATTTCGAGCGCTCACAATCCGGCAAAGGAGACTCCTTCCATTACGATCTACGCAGAGGCTCCTCGAGGAAGGATTCGCAGACGAAGGTCAGAAAGGTGCACTGCCACCCTTCTGACAGTGGTCTTGGAACATCAATCAGCAGCTGTGAGACCGCGTCCGCACGCCAAGGTGAGCTATCAAAATTACAGACTCCTGACATGCAGTTTTATCTAATTCTGCCCGCAGCCAAAGAAAGCCGCTCAAAGACAGTCACGCGCACACAGTCGGCTATTACTAGCTCGTTGATGGCAGTTGAGCCTGAATCTGCTTCAAAGCAGAATCTTAGCCTTGGCGCCAGCCAGGAGATTGAAAAGCGAATCCTCACCCCTCTACTCGGACAGGAGCTTTGCAAGCCCTTCCATCACCTCGTCGAAAGCGCTCGCGAGCAGATCGAGAAGAAGCAGATTGGCACTCTTCGTGATCTCGAGAAGTCTCTTCTCCACGGAGCTGCTGTAAGTACAATTTTAACGTGAGCTTAAATTTGTGTGCGACTAACAAAACTGCAGGACGTGGAAGCGGAGGTTGGCTCTTACTACCAGTTCTGTAGTTCTACCATCTTGTGTCTGAGTGAGACCTATACTCACCTGGATCCTCGGGATCTGTGCATTCCCACGGATAAGAGCTACAGCAACTCGTACTTCTTGGACCTCACTGCCCAGGTCCACCGTTTTAAGGCCA